GTGGCTGAGAATATCTATACTTCGATTGATGACAATGGTTTCACATACACACTCATGGATGAAATTATAGATCATGAGAAGGATGTTGATGTAGCTCTCTCTAATGAAGATGCTAGATTTCAGACAGCAAGTAATCAGTGGAGGGACAAGCCTACGACTAAGGGCTGGCGTGTCCTAGTGAGCTGGAAAGATGGGACATCATCCTGGGTGAAAATGTCTGATATGAAGGAGAGCTTTCCTATCCAGCTGGCTGAATATGCAATTTTAAATAACATTGCAGATGAAGCTGCTTTCAGGTGGTGGGTTCACAAGGTGATCCGGAGAGCTAAAAGGATCATTAAGGCAGTTAAGAGCAACAAATACTGGCTACGCACTCACAAGTATGGAGTTGAACTCCCACATTCTATTAAGGAAGCAATCGCAATTGATAAGAAGACTGGGACCGACTATTGGGCCAAAGCTGTTTGCAAGGAAATGACTAAYAACATGGTTGCATTTCAGTTCAACGAGAAGGACMAAATTCCAGTTGGCCATGAGAAAATCACAGCCCACATGGTGTTTGACATAAAACTGGGGACCTTAACAATGAAGGCCAGACTTTGCGGTGATGGTCATAAAGTTCCAGCTTTGTTGCAAGAATACACCTACTCCAGTGTGCCCAGTCGTGATTCTGTTAGGATCTTCTTCCTGCTTGCCGCTCTGAACGATTTGGATGTCTTATCAGCTGACATTCAAAATGCCTATTTGACAGCCCCAATAAAGGAGAAATACTACATGATTGCTACTGCYGARTGTGGTTTCTCAGAGGAGTATGTTGGTAGGCCGTGCAAAATTGTCAGAGCACTATATGGTTTACCAGTGGCGGGCGCATCATTCAGAGCATATCTTACGAGTCATCTAAGGGAGCTTGGWTATATTTCTTGCAAAGCTRACCCTGATGTGCATATGCGAAAAGAGGTGAGACCTGATGGAACTTCATATTGGGCTTATCTGATTGCATACGTCGATGACATATTATGTTGTGGTATGAAGCCAAGGCTGATGTTAGAATCGATTGAAAAAAGGTTCACCTTGAAAGATGGAACTATTGAAGAACCTACTTTATATCTTGGTGCCGATATCAGTAGACATCAGATTCCTGGTCTTAACATCARGCGATGGGCTATGTCAGCTGAGAAATATACTGAAAAGGCAATTCAAGCTGTGGAACAGGAGCTGGGGACAGAAAAATATGATTATAAGTACTTACCGAAGAAGAAGATCAGTACTCCCCTATCTCCTGATTACAGACCTGAAATTGACCCTACAGAAGAATTGGACAAGCGGACGCAGAACTACTATCAAGGTTTGATTGGTGTGTTGAGATGGTTATGTGAGCTCGGCCGACTGGATATTATACATCCTGTTTCACTGCTCTCAAGGTATCTCGCCCAGGCGAGGATTGGCCATTTGAATCAGGCTTTCCGAATATTCGCCTACTTAAAGCAACACAAGAAATCCAAGCTAGTGTTTGATGACACTGAACCTGTGATAGATGAGAGACATTTTTCTGACTGCGACTGGTCCGAATTCTACCCCGAAGCTAAGGAGGTATTGCCTTCAGATATGCCTGAAGCTTTGGGAAAGTCTGTGCTGATGAACTGCTTTGTGGATGCTGATCATGCAGGCTGCACTGCTACGCGGCGTTCTCACACAGGAATTCTTATATACCTCAACAGATCTCCTATTCTATGGTATTCTAAAAGACAGACCACTGTGGAAACRTCTACATTTGGTTCTGAGATTGTAGCCATGAGAATTGCAATTGAGATGATTGAGGGATTGAGATATAAATTGAGAATGATGGGAGTGCCTATTGCAGGTGCAACCAATGTCTTTTGTGACAATGACAGTGTTGTTAAGAATGTTACCAGACCTGAGACTCCATGCAAGAAGAAACACAACAGCGTTGCATAGTATCATAAGGCTCGTGAGAGTGTTGCATCTGGTGCTGTTAGAATTGCCAAGGTTCCTGGAACTGAAAACACTGCTGATTTGCTCACGAAACTGGTGGGTGGTATACTCTTCAAAGAACATTGCAGGAGATGTATGTACCCATTCTGAAAATAGGCTGATACAATACACTGTTAAGTGGCAAAAGGCCACACAGTGAGGATCAAAATGGTCCGCCCCGTATTATATAGCCGGGCCTCTGATGTTTACAAGGGTATATACGGAAATCGTGCAGTTTAGACTGTGCAGGCACGACTGTGCAAGAATTATTTATGCTCAATGAAACGCGAAAGACCGGGTTAAGTATCGATGGTACGAGCGAAAACCTAAAAATTGACCTGTATTGATTGGTTGACTCACTTGATTGATTTTGTAAGTTCGATTCGTTTGATCTTATTTGACTAAACTGAATAGATCTTACGGGGACTGTGAAAATCACTCGTGGATGAATTGAATCACTCGTACGATACGAATGAGTGAATCGTACGAGTATTGCGATTAAGGTTAGAGTTAAACTGTATCCCAAGATTGAATCGTATCTTCGTACRGTTCAATGATTAGGGTTAAGGTTAAACTAAGGTTGAATCGTATCTTTGGATCGAATCGTACGATACGGATGAATCGTACGTGATCGCCGAATCGCTTAAGCATCAAAAATACAGCAAACAGCAAGCTGCTGTTTGATCACACTTATTCTTTTTATTAACATCTAAAACACCCTATCATGCCCTCACACCATGGTGACCTTTATATTAGCTAAGTTCCTAGTGTATATTACAGTGTATTCACCTGTTATATCAACACTACACTAACTGCTTATTGCACGTGATTTTTACAGTGGGTTCTTTTTTTGGGGGCTGGGGCGGGAGAGCTCTGAGATGAAAAAAAATGAGAAGAAATTGTGCATCGCACATGATACAAATATGGCCCCCATTTTATTTTCATGTGATAATTTCACTCTTAACTTTTGCACCTCCCTATTCACTCTTCATTTTTTCCCTTTGCTTTTTCTTTCATTCTTTTCAAGTGGCTGAAATCTTCTTTGCACTTCAAGTAACAAGTGACTCACTAGTAAGAGGGGATCCATTGACTCACTGGTGCCTGATGATAAGGGATCTCTGCATCTCCTTTGAATCCACTAAGACAGGATCTGTGGACTTGCCAGCACCTGATGATAAGGGATCACTCTGTCTCTGTTGGTTCCACTGAGAGGGTGGGAAGATCAATAGAGGAATTGCCTTGCATCTCTGTTGGTTGAATGCATAGACTAGCCTCCTAAGAGGGGAAAGCTCTGTTGACTCCGCCATTGCTTCCACCAAGAGGGAGGGAAGCATCATCAACTTGCTGTGCATCTCTGCAACATCAAACAACAGTGGAAATGCTGAGGTATCCTCTATTTGTGCTGTGACTTCTTGCTGCTGCTTGTTTTAACCCCCCCCCCCCCCTTGATTCTTTCTAAGAAAGCAAATTCTTGCTGGTAACTGATGTGATGGAGCTCCTTGAAGCCAGTAACATTCCTTCAATAACAACAAGCTATAAAGCAAGTAATACTGCAAATGACAAGGCAAGCGACAATACAGCAATCGATGATACTTGTAGTGATACGACAAGAAGCAATACTAGTACTGCTAGTGATATTGCAATTGATACTCATCAAAGACTGTCTCAAGGATTTGGTAAGGGTACAACCTGCACAGCTGGTGATGTCTTTAGTAGAAAGCACAGAAGTGGTAGAATACAACCAAGGCCATTGAGTGAGTTGGAAGAGGCAATGAAGGATGTCCCTCTTAAGGGCCGTGGGGATCTCAGAACTCTTTCAGCAGTAACTGGTATTACAAGAGCATCTCTTCATTGTCTGGTCAGACATGGTTGTAAGATTGAAAAGCACAACGGATCTACCAAGCCATAAAATTTGGAGAGTTTTTGCAGTGCAAGAATTGTTCTAAGGATATTGATCATTTGATTGACAATGTTTAGGAAGATTTTGGCAACAAGACACTGAATAATGTGTTTTTATTGCTTCAGGCTTGTTGTATGCAAGCAACTGTTGGTGTGGACAGTGACAACAAGTACAAGCTACCGCACATGGGCAAAGCGAGCCTCGTGAGAGAAGGTACTACTACTCTTCCAATTTCAACCATTTGCAATGCTGATTGCATCAATGCAGGGCATGTCGAATTGCTTGTTCGTTGTGAATCACACCAAGTCTTGGCTAATTTGTAGTAGTCTTAGTAGTAACATAAATGCATGTTATAATCAAATGATATTTATGGTACTGATTGTACACATTCTACTGTGAGTTGTAGTCTAGGGGACACTCTGATTGAGATGGCCAAAAAGGCCATAGGGTACACTCATTTTGAGGCAGAGGAAGTAATAATTTGAGTAACTGAGTCAATTAACTCCAGTTATTAAGTTATTCAATTTTGTGTATGTCCTCCCCCCCCCTAAAGGAGTACAAAAACATTTACCCCCCAAAACATGAAAGTTCCAGTAAGCGTTTCTGCAGTCATAATAAGTTCCTCATTGGGGACTCTCCTGAAGTGGATTGACAGAGGCCTCCTTTCATTGGGACCACCATGGCAATTACTGTTGGATTGAAACAATAAGAAAACAAAGTCAACCATTAACAATTGCAGATTTTTGCACCAATGAACTGGTTCCAATAAAAAATTAAATGATTCCACCATCCATACAGGACATATGTGTAGAACAGTTGAAAACATTGAAAAATATAGAGCCAGTGGTTCTCAAATATTCAGGTGTCACAGATCAGTAGGTAACACATTTGAAACCACCAAATTGAAGATGAGGAACAAACACTCTGTAAATTTTGCGCTTTAAAAATTTATGATGGGATCATTGAATTGATTAAGCGGAAACAATTACCAAATGATGTGTCAATTGATTGGTATGAATGGGAGATAAAGCATAGGAATCTGTTCTGATTTACAAGCTTGTAGCAACTTGTTAATTCTAGAAACATTCAGGAGGTTAAACTCAGATCAAATTGTGTACAGCATTTATATGATTCTGTTTGCTTAAAAGAACCAGCCAGTTGAGCAAGACAAAGTTAAAAATATGGTATTATACATGATCAAATCGATTAAAAAGCAATCGTTGCGTTTACAATCCTTTGTTGTAATAAAATACCTCGTAGGGTTTTTGCGTTTTTGGATCGATCAGGTGGCGGTATTTCTCCTCTACATCGGATGACTTTATTTCGGCGACCTGAGGGAAAATAGCAATCGTCGCTGGCAGACCCAGACCAAAGCTTACCAGCACCAAAAAGGTCGTGACGGGAACTCTAGTTCGCGGGTGTTGTTCGAGGAAGCGCTTGAGGGGCGGAAGCGATCCCATGAGCAAGGATGGAAAGAAATAGACAGGTGCCTGCAGGAGGGCCCGGGAGGCGGTCGTCGATTCGACGCCCCGCCTGGCGGCAATCTGGCTTGTATTTTCGGACTTATCAGGCAGTACAACTTTGTTCCCCTCCTGGTCTGTCAGTGGAACTCCCGTGTCGATTTCGGGGCTGCGGACCACGTAACAATTGAGACTGGATGCGACTACTGCACTTGGAAAAGCCACATATTTCATGAGCTCCTTTGCCTTAGCAGGTGGATAGCGCTTTTGCACGAAGGTTGAGAGACCAAAGGCTACGACAAGAGCGGATCCGACGGCAGCTGTATAGGATTTCATCAGTGTTTCGTTTGTCATTGGGGAGCTGGCGTTTCGGTTCTGCATTGTTTGTCAAAAATAGAGAATAATGAGAGAAAGATTTTGGTATACATTGCTACATTCCTTACCACGGAAACATACTACCGTCGACAATTCCGTATTGCACACAACTCACATAATAATTCACAAGAGCGTTTTGGGATTGGTTAACCCAAGACCAAAACAACAATGGGATGGTCGATGTCGATGCGACCATAGAGACACAGATTGGCCCGTTGTAGGGAACGTATCCCGACATTCGAAAAGGTCTTGGAATGAATTCTCCCGTGTCCGGATGCAATGCGCTCTCCACGACGCGCTTCGATTCCCACAACGAACGGGATTCCTTGGTTGAAAATAAATTGTTTGCGTTATTGCTGTTTGATTCTCGTTCGGCGGCTTCCGTCAGTCGCTCCCGAGCGGCCAGGATAGTTTCGTCCCCGCAAAGCAGCAGGGTTGGATCACACGCCAGGAGCATACGGGCAAATCGTCCCCCAAAGGTCTCCTGGTCGAATCTTTGTGCACCCCCCCTGGACGTGTAGGGCGGGCAGGTATCGGCGGTCGATTGCTCGACCGCTAGGGCGGCCGCTCCAACAACACCCACACCGGAAGCTGCGGCCGCCAGGCTTGCTAGCACCGGGACCCCTCCGCTGCCTTCCCCAGAGGCCGACGATGACGGCGGAGATGCCGCCTGCTGTTCCACTTTCGAAGGAGTGCTTGATATAGTGGACTTTTTAGAGTGGCGTATGTTTCTCTTCACTCCGGCAGTGGCAAAGACGGAACGCCGAACGTAAGCAGCAGTGGATCGGACGGAGATCATGATGATGCTTTTTAGTATTTGATTTTAATTTTGGTTCGATGCAATTTCAAATAATTTTCTTTCTGGCGTCTTGTGTTCTCTGGATGCTTTTTAAGAGTTGAAATTAGCTTCTGATTTTATTTCCTTGCGCTTTGAAGGTTGTGTCTTTTTTATGAGTTCTCCTCCTCTTGAATGTATTGTTTGGGGTTGTGACTGTTAAGCAGGATCGACGAAACAAAAAGTTTGTTCTTCAGCTTCCCGACAACTTGTTTTAGTGGCACCTCGTCGTACAATCTTCACTAGTATTGTACCGTACGATACCGATGGGTTGCTTCGAACTTGTACGTAGTTTCAGTCACACAAATGCACAAATTATTGACCCATTCCCTTCATTATTGTTACTTATGACGATTCTTAGTTTTTGATGTTCGTGTTGAGAAACTTCGACCACTTGTGGATTTGCATTAATATTCCTCTCGAAGGTGCCGATGTTGCTGCACGTGCAGATCGTGACCGTGACTGGATGAGTGCCGATGTTGCTGCACGTGCAGATCGTGACCGTGACTGGATGAAAGATGCCGATCCAGATTTGTTTTTTGTCGTCCTTCTCCCGAGATTGTGCCAAAAAGCTTGAAATTGCACACACTCCGCCGGAATGAGGAATCCTTGAAAACCAATCATTTCGAACGGTTTTCCCACAGCGATGTTGTGTGTTCTAAGTTCGATTTCTAGTTCGAGAAGTTGAAGGAAAAGAACAAGCCGGCCGCGTTATTGGGCGAAGGGCCGGGGGTTGCATATAATCTGTAGTACTGTACGATATGTATGTGAGGTACGTAACCAAGACAGACGACTACTAGTACAACTACCGGTACGTACCAACAACTATCGATGTCACTCTACCGTACCGTACCGTACTTGGTATGCATTATCTCTCGTTTACAATCAGCCTCAACCTAAAAAGCACCATTCTTTAATTTGTTCTTATCAACAGTTCAACTACAATACCACAATACTGTAGCGGAGAAAACAAGCGACACCGGCAAGAAGCAATAGTAGTAGTATTACTAGAATATGGGGGAATTTTCAAAGTTAGAAGAAAAGTGATTTAAACACGAAGCAAATAGCAATTCAATAACATTAAAAGTCTGGACGAGAGCATGGATTTGATCTTAAGTATGACAGGCAGATTGTTTCTTCAAACCATGGACTGCTTTTGGGGTTGCAGAGGCCTTGACCACGATCTTGCATGCCAGGTCAGTCGGTTCTCAAAGCTCTCGTTTTGACTCACACACTCTTACGACCGCGTGCACATTTTCTTAGCAGTAGGATTCACCCTGTTGCTTGAAAACCTGTACCATTGGACTTTCGACTTGAACCTTGACGGGCACCCGAATGGTGCGCCCCGGCGAGGCGTTCGGGGGACAGGTGACTATAAATTCTTGGCCATGCGCCCGGATCTTGAACCTTCCTCCGGGCCGAACACCAGGAGGGACGGTCACGTCAAAGAGTTCGGTCTTCGTTCCACCGTGACGCGGTGGCGTCTGAGGCGGCGTACGCGGCGGTGTGATTGTATGCCTCGGCGGTGTTGTGTGGCGCGGTGGAGTCTTAGCCCTTGGTGCGGAAATGGGCAGCCGAACCTGGATGCGCTGACCCGGCCCGGCGTTTTGGGGACAGGTCACGGTAAAACGCTTTCCGTGGACGTCAACCTTAAATGGCATGCCTGGGTAGACTCCCGCGGGAACGGTCACGTGATGCAGGGAAGTTCCAGTCGGCGGCTGAGGAGACTTTGACCGACCCCGCCCACCAGCCCCTGCTCCTCCTGTCGTTGTTGGAATGGCGATCTTGATGCGTTGCCCCGGTCCGGCATTTTGGGGACAGGTCACGGTAAAACGCTTTCCGTGGACGTCAACCTTAAATGGCATGCCTGGATAGATTCCCGCGGGAACAGTAACATGATGCATTTTCGTTTCTGGTGCTTTGGTACTGCTATGGCTTGTGTGGGAACTCGTAAAAGACTCTGGGTCGTGCGTTTTGTGGCTCGACGACAATCCCGTTCCCCCTCCACTTTTCGTTGGTAGGGCAATCTTGATACGATCTCCTGGTCCTGAGTTTTGGGGACAGTTAACATTAAATCGCTCTCCGTCGACGTCAACCTGAAAAGGCATTCCTCCAAAAATTCCAGCCGGGACGGTCACAAAGTGCATCGTTGTCGACGTAGATTCCTCTATGGAAGCATTGGTGGGTACTTTGCCACTGTTGTGGCTATTATGAGACGCCGTAGAGGAAGAAAAATTATCTGTTGTGGGGAGGGAGATTCGAATCGTTTGTCCGGCGGAGGCACCGATAGGGCAGGTGACCTCAAATTGCTGGCCTTCTACCTGGACCTTAAAATCTGTACCCTCTGAGACACCTTGGGGAACAGTGACTTCATATGTCGTCATTGTTTGATCTGCGGGTGCCGGTGGTGCCGAAGGCTTTGGGTGTTGTTTTTCTTTTTGTTGTCTTCGAGCTTTTGCTTTTTCTTCTTGTCGGCGTCGTTGCTTTGCGGCAAGTGCCTCCTCGTCATCGTCGTTGTCGCTCTCCTCGTCATCGCTCTTCTTAGATGCAACAAACGCCGCCGTCCCTGCCGCCGCCGCCGCTACTCCTACAGCCCCAATAGCCGCGGCCGTGGCTTTTTTGTTGTTCCGGCGACGCTCAGAAGCTTCAGCCTCGGCCTTCAATCTCTCCCGGGCTGCTGCTCGTTCCGCGGCTTCTCGTTCCAACCGCTCAATCTCCGCCTCTTCAGCCTGGAGCTTCGCCTGGAGAGCGGCTTTTTTGCGGGCCACGGCCTCGAGCCGCTCGGTTTCGGCAGCGGAAGCATCGTTGGTTTCAAGTGCAGACGTAGCAGCTACTGAAGTAGCGGCTGCAGTGACCACAGCTCCCGCTGCAACGGCGGATTCAACAGACGTTGTGGGGTCTTCGTTCTTCTTTGCAATCAGATACGACGGTTTTCCGGAATTCTTTTTGCTGGAGGACTGGAACTTCGTAGCCTTTGGTGGCTCATACTCTTCTTCCTCCGCCTTGTCATCCTCGACTGGAAGAGCCGTATCGTCGATCCGATCAGCAGCCGTTTCTTCCCCATTATTGCTTCCTTCCAATGGTTCGGGATCCTCTTTCTTCTTCGCGATCAGATATGTCGGTTTTCCGGAATTGTTTTTGCTGGAGGACTGGAACTTCGTAGCCTTTGGTGGCGTATACTCCTCTTCCTCCGCCTTGTCATCCTCGACTGACGAAGCTTCTTCTTCGATCTGATCAGCAGCCGTTTCATCCCTATCGTTACTTCCTTCTGGTGACTCGGAATCTTCTTTCTTTTTGGAAATCAGATACGTCGGTTTTCCGGAGTTCTTTTTGCTGGAGGACTGGAATTTCGAAGCCTTTGGCGGTGTATACTCCTCCTCATCCTCCTCATTATTATTCTGTTTGTCTTCGTCGTTACTGCTGCCTCCTTCTGATGATTCGGTGGTTTGTTTTTCGTCCTCCTTCTTCGAGATCAGGTAGGAGGGTTTCCCAGCGGGCTTTTTGGTCGAAGATGAACCACTGTTGAATTTGGAAGCTTTGGGTGGGACATAGTCGGCATCATCATCTTCCGCGGTTTGCTGCTCCTCAGGCTTAGACTGGGTTCCAAAAACCTGTCCTGTCAACGCTTCCGCTTGTTTAAGCATCGCCTTCTTGCTCGCTTTCTTTTGCTCGTCGGTCTCTAGATCGTCGGTCATTTCTTCCGCCAGCTTCATTGCCATTTGGATGGCGTTCCCCTTGTCATTTTGGTACTCTCCAGCAACCTCAGTGAGTTTATGCATCCACTTGTCTGCCATTATGTTGTCAAATTTGTTTGTTTAAACGAAAAAGTTACGTGGAGTGGTTGGTTTATCAATGCCCGTTCTTGTTGATGTGGTGTTGATTTGTATTGTGTGTTGTAATACAGTGCTGTATTGTTTTTTGTGAAAAGATTGCTCTCCAAATAAGAATCGTTAACAGAGAAGCGATGAATAACTGCTCGTACCCAGGTTCTGTATGTACCGGCCGGTACGAGTTGCCCTCCGTATCAAATATCTACCGTACCGGCCGGTACGATCACAACTGTATTCCTTGCTTTCAGCTACCGAAGTAGTACTGTATTGTACTTCGTACGATGAAATACCGCTTTTGGAAGGACAGAAGGATTCACGAGTTTCTCTGCCCTGGTTTCAGTACGACAAAATTCGAGTCGTATGTAAAGTACGACTAAAACTATCGTTTTTTGACTACGACTACGCTGCGTCATCGTACGGTACCTCGTGCGGTACCGCTATGAGTCGGTGCAAGTAGGAACCTRGGTGCTCGCAAGGTCCAACGCGAGAAGAGATGATCAATGAATGATCAATGATGATCATCTCTTCGTTCAAGTACGAACTTACGTACCGTAGGTACAGGTACTTACCGTATGCATTTAATCCTAAGAATACATAACGAGAACCAATTTTTTCATCTTGCTGTGGTGTTCTATTTGGTCGGACAAGTCTTGTCAGTTGAGATACTGTCTCAACTAAATCCTGCAAATACAGAGCAAAACGAAGACAATGAGCAAATTATCATCGTCAACATCATCGTCTTCACTGAGAATGGAATGTTCAGATGTGCACGTATCGCAGGCATTCAATGCTATTGCGAACGGAAGTATTGAGGGGAGGAATAGTCCGCGTAAGGCCACTGCAACTCCAACAAGGCACGATGAGCCAAACAAAACGAACGATTTCATGTTGATGGCCCTGATTGTCATCACGGCAACATACTCGCTCATTGTAATATTTTTCCTTATTCTTCAGGCGCAGAGACACGACCGTAAGAACAAAGATACATTTCGCTCTGCTTCTACTTTTGAGTCTGAGCAACCAGAACTTATCGATCGCGCTAGCACTAACACCAACAATGCAGTTGAACATGAAAATTTGCAATTGAACTCATCAAGTAGTAAAAGCAAGGAAAAATACATCCGTTCAACAGCAGTGCTAAGGTATAAAGACTCCGATACAAATCTTGAACTTTGTACTGCGCATAGTTTTAGTACCAGCAACACAACCAACGCTATTCCCATTGATTTTGACAAAACCAAAGTCGTGGTGTTGGAGGATCGTAGTATGCAAGGAGAAGACAAAGGCAAAGCAGATTTAAAAATTAAATCAAAGATATTGGTTGAGAGGGGCTGTGTGCACAATAAAACCAACCACGGACAGCCTCCAATTTTGTGTGAAGAGACGAACAATACCAATAGCAGCTACATTACGAACTTTGATACGAGCGATAGCAATAGCGAAGCTTCAAAATTCCAGACAATCGATAAAATATACTCAACACAAGATTCTAATAAGCATAACAGCAGTGATGATGCCGCAAATGACAGAATGAAAAGTGATTTAGGAACAAGTGACCCCAAATTGCATCAGCCTACATTAGATGCTATCAAACACTATCTGCATAGTACTCCTGGTTGGGAGGAGTTTTTGGAAGAAGAAAACCCGCTGACATTTTACGTTAGAATACACAAAAAGACTATCGAGCGACTGCGCTCGAAAGTCAGACCAAGAATGATGCTTTCAACCGAAGGAGATGGCACGGACAACAGTGCCGAATATAACCACCTCTATAACAGAATACATTCGCAAGAGGAATTTATTGGCGTCGCATCCTATTTTTTTCAAGCGATGATGCACCAAGGAGTTCGTGGAAGCTCAGGCCCACGCTCGTCCATAAAGAAAACGTTTCAATGGGTCAAAAATGCCGCTGGTATGCATCGACGAGCACATATTCATGCAGATGATCTTGAGGATGAATGGAATGAAGACGACATGAAACCTTATTCGGGAGAAATTGGAGTAGTTCTTACAAAAAAGGGGGAGATAATATCACCCTCAAGGCGATCTAATCGAGTGCGAGTGATGAACACAAAAAAGAAACTAGAAAAGGAGGAACTAAGAAGCATTGGGATTTTGACTCAAGCCGCAAAAGAACTAGAACAAGAAATGAATGTCATTTTTKACAATAAGATTAAGAGGGACTATTCAAAGAGCATCTTACGTGCGAACACTCTTGAAAAGCAAACATCGTCAAAAATATTTTCTTCGAAGAATCGCACCCAATGCAGGGTGGAAGGTGGTGATAAGATGGCCAGAACCCTTGGTCTCTGCTTCAATGTAAATAATTCCGATAAGCAAGAGCTAGAATCAGCCGATTGTTTTCCTTCTCGAAAACGAAAACGCGATTGTTGTGCCATCCACGCCTCCGTTCAAGTGGAAGTGGAAGGAAAGACACCTGTGCATAAAACGCCATAGGCTGCAGTTATCAATGGCGAAAAAATTGAATCGCTATCTTTCAAAAAACACAAAGAGGACATTAGCAGCATGACAAAAAACAAGAAGAATCAAAGAATTGAAGATTCAAAATCAATTAATGCAGTGGGAACGACGCAGGGAACAAACACTCTGCCAGCTCCTTTTCCCACCAATATACGAACAAAGGATCCTAACGATGTTCCAGGAAGCCACTCCAAAGAATGAAGAGCTGGTTGTTACTGGAAAAGAAAAGCGAAATGAGCCTTGGTTATCAGTTGCACACATGTTTTGTATTTCTCATAATCTTTCTGTCTTGGTTCAACAAGATCTGATGTTTATTTCAAGTTTCCCAAATGCAATAAAATGCAAACAGACAAAATCTTGAGGTTATAAAATTTCCAAAACCAATGCTTTGAAAAATTGGACAACATTAGACTTCTTTATTGAGCAATGCCATATATTCGCAATTGCATTTGAGATTTTCTTTCTCATACGCTGTATTAAGTGGATTTGACCTTGCCGTGTAACATCTCGCAGTACGATCTGAATGAATACACGAAGTACGTAAAATTGAACATGGAATTCAATTGTGCTGGATATAAAAATAAAATTGTTCTGAGTTTCATTTTTCGATGCGACCACAGAAACTAAACTGTATAAAATTTTGCATTTTATTCAATACTGCGAATATAAACTCTCTTAACTGTACACCAGCGATTCAAACTTCTCGTTTATTTTATCCAATTCCGTGCGTAACTTCATTCGCGTCAGGCATCGGGGATTTGGCATGGGTTAACAATATTCACCACGTAGTATTAATTGATTTCCCGCGAAAAATGCTTTCGAATGAGCATTTTACTTATTCAAACCTCAGGGATATATAGTTTAGGATTTAACGTTATAATGAATGATAAAGATTATTGATTGTTTTTGACATTGAACTTAATTCTGCTCCGCGTTTGGAGGATTCTTCTCCTAAAAACCATAAGTCAGAATTTTTTATAAGAACATCTTTCGTGATCGCACACTTTTGATGTTCGCAACGGTACTACAGTATTAAAAGTAGTACTTTATGTAATCATCGCACTTAATGAAGAGATCCCGAGGGAAGAATGTACGGCAGGTTTTCTTGTGTAGAACTTATCTTTCGTCACACGCGAAGCTGATATTCTTTGTTCTGGTTTGAGACCTCGGAGAAAACGGTTCGACAGACACCTGAGACGTTACGGTACGTTCGACAATAATTCGATTTTTTTTGTTTTCCCCATTACCCCTCTGCTGTACGGTACGATACGAAACAGATACCCCCACCGAATCCAAAAACAATTCTATTAGCGGTCCTTACTACTGGGGAAGTATTTTTTCTTGCTTTGAGAGTTTTCATTAGTGCTTACTGCTGATAAACATTTATTAGTGCTTCGTGTTGGAGATGTTTTTGTTATGAGCAACGCGAACTACTGTAATAGGTAAGGTGATGGGTTACGAATGTTGATCGGGAATCGGTAGGAGTGCTCGTGCCATGATCAGACCATCGCCAGGCTACAGGAATGAAAAATACAAAATTGTCGCAAAAATATCACGGGAATTGACGGAACGACACGAAACAAAGATCGGCAACGAGTGCCGTGCTTTCTTGCCATTGCCAATGCCAAAGCAACGACAGACACCTCCGGAACACAACACCTACGGCACTGGTTTGGTTTTGGTTTGGTTWTGGTTTCATTCCAACCACTTCCGTTCGTTCGAACGAAATTTCTGTTTGTAGAGGCKGTGMGTTTTTCCTGTTTGATGGTTTCGTTCKATCGTTTTACCGGTCGAGGCCCTTCCAGGTCACGTTGTGCAAGACTCCGTCGATCTCGACGACCAGTATCCGGATCTCCTCCCCGGGAACAAAGTAGGCGTTGACCAGCCCCACCGGGCTTCCGCGGGCGGGTGCAAGGGCTTCCGTTTCCGGGCCCGGCACCACCCCGACGGTCCCCCGGAAGGACGAGAGGTCGCCGCCGGCCGCGTCCTCCGCCAGCAGCGCCTCCAGGGCGGCCTCGGCATCGGAGGGCGGCCGGCTTTCCTCGTCGTCGCTCCCGCTTGCGGTGGTCGCAAGGATCCCGTTCTCGTCAAAGACGTCCATCGAGGCGCTCCAGACCCCCCGGTCGGGTTCGAACCTCGCCCGCGTGTTGTTCAGCCTCAGCCCGGCCGTCCCGGCGCCGCCGTCCGCCGACAGGAGCTCCACCACCGTGGCGTTGGCCCGCACCAGGGCCAGGRCCTCCCGGTTGACCCACGCCATGGCGTTGGCCCGGGAGACGGCCCGTTCCTGGAGCTTGGCGACCAGCCCCACCACCGCCGGCCCGGCGAGGTTCCCGAGGTTCCGGACGTGCCAGGGCTGGCCCGCGAGAGCGTCGCTCCAGCTCTGCGCCAGGCGCTCGACCGACATCACCGARAGCGGCTCGCTTCCGCGAACGGCCAGGCCGGGCATCCTGGCCGCGATTGCGTCGAGCTCTTCGGCTCCGACGGCCCCCGCCTCGTACCCCGCCCGGAGGTTGGCGGCGGTCATGGTCTCGCCGACGGACGAGAGGAACCCCGCGAGGACCTCCTCGGGAACAAAGGGGACCTCCCGGAGGAGCTCCAGGGTTTCGTCGCGAGGGGCATTTCCGCTTGCGCCCCTGCCTGGGGCGGAGGCCGACAGGGGCGTGGCTTTCTCGACCGCCGCCGCCCGCGTCCGGGCCGTCTCGGCCGGCAGCAGGAGCGAGTGGGAGACCCGCACCAGGGGCGACGCCGCGATCGCCGCGGCAGCGAGCAGCGTTCCGGCCGCGAGCCTCCGGGGCGGTGGGAGCCGCTGCGGACGCCTTCTCGTCCTTGGGGTGGTTGTGGTTCGACGATTGGTAGCAAGATGGCACGGCATGGTGGGTGGTTCTTGTTGTTGCTCTTGTTTCTTGGGCTGTTGGCACTGTCTGTCGCGGAGGAGGGTTGTTTTTGCGTTCCGCGTCGTGGGAGGTCCCGGAGTGGATCTGCGAAGGATTGGTTCGCGCCCTCGGTGGTGGTGGTTGGTCTTGTTCCGATGCCGTTGCGACAAATGGTCAGAACGCCGCTTGCTTCCGGTGTTCGGTGTGGTTGGTGGCTTGGCCCTTGATGTCGTGTTTGACACACGCACGTCTGAGCTAGCTAGCTAGCTACTAGATTCCTGTTCCGCTTGCCTACGGTACGTACGTACGAGTACTCGTATCCCGATATCTCTGAGTATGCCCTTCACATCATTTCACGACGCACACTACGAGTACTCGTACGTACGATACGGCGTACGTATCAGTTCATTCACGAGCGATGGGCCAATCAGAGTTTGAATTTGCATAACGGAAACTACTGCGAAGTATGTATTTTCTGCTGTGTTAAAAGTCACCCCCTTTTTCTTATGAACCCCCAAATGGTGCCTTGCGTTGACTCGTACGGAGAAAAGAACCAACAAGGAAGAACGAAACACATCATCCATCACCGTAATTCTGAAGCCGAGACGGAGCAAGACAGACCGAATCATCCATCATGCCATTCCGTACGGTAAAGTATTTTTTGGTACTTTCTTTCGTTTCAGATTCAGACTGCTTATTTTTGTCGATCGAAAAACGAAACACAAGCAAAACCACGATTCTGTTGCCCATCCTCCTAGGGTAGTACCGAACCGAGAACAACCAGTGGTTGGTCTTGGTGAGACGGAGACCCCCGACCATGGCGTTGCTGTGCGCTCTCCTCCTGATCCACCTGGTCCTCGCCTGGTCCGGCCCCGCGACGGCCCTGACGAGCCAGAGCGGCGGGACGGTCGGCACTTGCACTCGCATCGCCGCTGGCCTCCCCGCACGGCACCGGAATCGCTTCCACCCTCGGACGGCGACCGCGCGGGCCTCGGCGCAGACAGAAGCCGCACCCGAAGACCGCACACGCGCCTCGTTCGTCGTGCGCATCCCCGAAAAAGTCTGGAGGGCGGCGGCCTCCGAGCACCGGGCCCGGATCAGGAGCCTCCTGGAGCCGGGCCTGGTGGGCCTCGACCACCCGTCGATGGCGAGCCTCCGCAAGCGGTTTCTGGAAATGGAGGAGGACGACCGGTGGTCCACCATGCTGGATCCGAAGCACCCCGTCTACAACTTTCTGGTCGAGTACTACGGCCTCAAGGGCCTCAAGGGACCGAAGCGGCTGGCGAGGTGGTCCCCGGCCATCGGGCTGTTCTTTGCGGGGGACAACCACAACAACGGTCCGTGCGGCGAAAGCGGCGCGGACCCGCACACCGAAAGGGAGGCGAAGCCCGCGGAAGGGGTCCGGGTCCGGCGGATCGAATCCCTCGGCGAGTACTACGAGCTGTCGGCCGCGCACTTTGACGACGACCGCGACAACAACCACAAAAACAACCCCCGGATCGATTATTCCGCCGATCGCTGCGTCTTTCTGGAGGGGGCGACCCCCGACGACTTTGGTTCGACCCTCCACCTCAGGGGCGCCGAGTGGATCGGGGGCGATGTCGAAAGCATTGGCGGCGGCGGCGACGACCACGAAATCCACCCGATCCCTTCCGGCATCGCAAGCGACCTCAAGGGGGTCCTCTACCGGCCCACGGCCTCGAGGAACGGAGCGGCCCGGGAGGACCGTTGTGGCGAAACCCCACCGCTTTCCCGCGCCACGAGCCTGCTGTGGTACCGGTCGGTCCTGGAGGCGACCGCATCGAACGATCCCGTGCTGCACTGCTACGGCCTCCACGAGTGGGCCATGCAGTACCAGCCGGAGGGGGCCCGAGAGCCCCCCTCGGGCCGGTACCAGTCCCACCTGGCGCTCCGGGTCTCCCGGACCACCATCAACGAGACGGTCGAGCGCAAGGGCGTCTCGTGCACCCACGTCGACGCCCTGCGGTTCTTTGCCCCGGCCGCGGGCCCCCTCAACCACCACGGGGCCTCCCTCGAGCGGACCGACCAGCTGGGCCTGGAGCAGCCGGCCTGCGTCCACGCCCACATGGACCTGCTCAAGATCGCCCTCCGGCTGGTCCCGTACTGCGATCCGGGCCTGCTGCTGGACGTCCTGGGGGTCGCCCTGAGGGCCCGGGCGCTGGACGTGGGGGCCTCGCCGAACGATTGCTCGTCGTACCGCTGCCGTTCATGGGGGAACGCAACAGCAGCAGCAACAGCAGCAGCAGCGGGAACCACCACGCCCATCCGAACGATCCCGATCGAGACCCCGGCGGGGCGGGCCCTGTACAAGGAGCTCCAGAAGGAGCTCATGGCCGAGGCCGCACCGATCCGGGAGCGCCTCCTTTCGAACTACGAAACGGTGCTGCGGACCATGTACACACCGGACCAGCTGGAGGAGGCCTCCGAGAATCCCTCCGACGAGCGCTTTGCCAGGGCGGAACCGGGGGGCCTGCCGTGGAGAAAGAACCTTTTGGAGAGGGTCGCGTAGGAGATCGGCAGTGGGGTAGCATACTTCTACTTCTAGAGACTAATATGATAGATGATGGATTGGATGCGTATGAAACAAAACGACTACTTGCGTTCCCAATGTAAAGAAATCGAGACATTCCGTGACTCTAGTTTACACCGCTAGCACGTCGTAGTTTCGTCGCACTACCGTCAGGCAGGTCACCAGGATGAACAGGCCGGGGATGAACAGCAGGTTCATCAGCTGGCGGATGTTTAGGAACCCCATGAGCGAAATGAAAATGTCCCCGCAGCCACGCCCGGACGTATCGACCAGCGTCGCCAAAAGCCCGCTGTTGAAGGTGCCTTGGGCGAGTGCGGTCGGGATGAGTTTCGACAGGGCCGAACCGATGATGCCCTCGAAACTCTGGATGGAAACGTAAGTCACAAAGTAGCCAATGACGTATTGGGTCGGCCCGACGCTCCACCAGGTGTTTTTGTTGTAGGTTCGCTCGGAGTTCCCATCGACAAGATCCGAAACATCGACGAGAAGACTGAGCCCAGAAATCCCCACAAGCAACAGGCATACCATCAAATATCGATCCTGGTAATACATACTGAGCTTTCCAACCAGGATCGAAATGGGGATCACGAAGAAGCCATTAAAGCAGCCCAGTGCACCGACCTCGTGGATGGTCCATCCGTATCTGTTTTTGGACAGCGCACTCGTGCAACTCACAAGTGTTTCGATGACAAACACCTTGCCAAATAGCAATCCCATACATATCTGTACAGGAAAGAGCAAATATTTGCACGCACGTTTCAATTCCGTCCAGAGGCTATCGTCCTTGTTGCCTTCTTCGACAATATCTTTAGGTTTTTTATTTTCGCCTTGCCCTTCTATCAAAGACTCTTCGTTGTCTTGCTGGAGTTTTTCTTTCAATCCTATCCGTTCCTCTTCTCGAAACCCATAGAAAAGGATCGCCGAAAAGATTCCCCACAGGAACGCCATGAACCACCCTGGCCCCGTCATGCTGTTGAACCAAATCTCAGACTTGCCCCCTGGAAGCACGACTATGAAATCGAAATTGGACAACAGGATGGCACAGCAGGGGCCGAGGGCCGATCCTGCTGCAACCACCATTCCGAACAGTGCGTTAACGCTAGTTCGGATGCCGGATGAAGTCGTGTCGGCAATATACCGACGGACAATCATCTTCGGACCACCAAGGCCCGTCATAAATCTACCGACGAGTGCCATTGGAAGAGACTGGTAATTGAAGGCGCTCGAATAGACAATGTTTCCCATTACCATGAGCGAGCAACTCACCAAAAATGGTTGGCGGTACACCGTGTTTGTCCAAACGCTGTAGACGATGGCTGCGAGGAAGCAAGCAATGGGCATCATTCCGATAAGGATAGCCCCGGCAGCGTCTTGGGCCCCTAGCGCATTCACATACATAGTAGAAGAGGGTTCGACGATATAGTAATTCATGCAGTACAAAAATCCTCCCCCGAGTGCCATTACTAGGTTGAATTTTTGTTGCCCAGTAAGTTCGTCTCCCCCATCGTCTGTGACGAACGAGTGGTTGTCGTCTATCGTACTGGAGCCGGCAGTATCTACATCCATATCTGCATCTTGATCAGAGGAAAGGGCAAGATGAATTGCACCGCCACCCTCTCCCGCAGTACTGATGCGCAATTCCTCGTTGTCATTACCACAGCCCGCCAGGTTGTCGCATTCGAGGTTCAAGCAAGCGGCAAATCCAAGTCGGCGTTGGCCATCCTCTCCGGCTGCAACCAAAGCATTCGCTTGTTCAACGGCTTCCACAAACATATCGGCATCGGTCTTGGACCAAACCATTTGCGACTGCCGTTTCCACTTTGATAAGGATCTCATTTCTTCCGTAAGAGTTCGTCCACGATCAGCAGTAGTCCATCCAATCTGGTCCTCCATGTACATTCCACACCATGAGTACCTTTGAACCATTTCAATTAGAGTATCAGTTATGGTTTTTGATGCGTTCGTATTGGCTGAGGGTGTGCTGGTGGATGCAGGAGACTGGGGTATAGACAGAGAAATGGTGCGTGTCGAATGCGTGGTCGTGTCGGACAATTCTACATTGGCAAGGGAGACCGTCTTCTCGATCGACAAGGAAAGTACAATCCGGGAAAGTTGCTCTCGGTCCGATTGGAAGCGTTCGGTGATCACCGATATGATTGTGTCGTACCTTTGTTGTTCTCTGTCGCTCTCGAACTCGTAATGGTTGCTGCCGATGTTGGTGATGTTTTTGTCTCCCATAGTCTTTCCTCCCAACAATAGCTGGCTGTAAAACTTCTCACACAGAGAGGAAATCCCGTGATGCGATAATATCTGTTGCAGCTCCCAATGATATTTGTTGTCGCTATTGCTGTCTCTGTTTTGACTTTCTGCTTCTCTTCCAATGCTTCTTCGTGTATTATTTTTGGAATGGAGGACCTGCTTCAGGTAGAACTCCATCAGAGGCGTTCCCTCAACCGATCGAGTAAAGGCATCGTACCGGATCAGAATCTGGCGGACCACCAAGATGTTCATGGCGCAAAAAGCTTGCAAATCAAGAAGATCTCTTCCGAGGGCAATCGTTTCTTGCAGATGCGCAGAGATAGCAGATGAATTTCGGTTGGCGTTATTCATAGTGCCAATTCCGGTGCTTCCAGCCGACTGCATCGTATTTCTCCTCTTCTCCGAAGACTGCGAAAAGAGAGCATTGTCATCTAGTAGTTGTCGTCGTTTTATCCACTTAATGACCCGCCCTTGCAGGGATCGTAAGCTCGAGTCATAGTAGGCATAAATTTTTCTACTTTCCCCCGCCAAAAAGCCGGTCAGATCGTCTCTTTCAATATTGGAGGCCCTCCGCAGGACGTTTCGGCGTTTGATAGTTTTTCGTTTTCGATCGCTCCTCCAAAGGCCCGGGAGATCACACGATCGCAAGCTACCAATATTGCTTACATTCGAACTTTCTTTTCTGGCGTTGTTAGATGGTGATGATTGCTGCTCGTTGTCGCCCATGGACACGTAGGGATTCTCAAATGAAGTGATTATTCTGCTATCCAAGTTGTTCTTGTTGATGGTCAATAATTCCGCCAGAATAGCTTCCATGTCGTCGACAAAAACGGAATCCCTGACCTTCCCATTGCCTATGCTGCCACAATTCTGTTCCTGTAATTGTTCGGTGGCAATAGTTGTATTTGTGTCTTCCAATAGGCGCCGTAGTTTGTCTCGACAACGTCCGTAGTTCCTCAGTTTTTGTTTGAAGGTGGCGTAATCCACCACCGGGATATTTTTGTGTGAGAGAGAACCATCAGCAGGATTAGCAGCAGAATTTATGATACGGTTCGAATTGTTTTTGTCACTGTCTTGTGGATAAGAAAGGTTCTGGAGCCAAGAGGGGGCGATGCCGTTGCTTCTACTGTCATGATCTAATCCAATTCTGCCGATTCCATCTCCTTCACTATAACTGTAACTAAGACGAATGGCCTCATCAAGGCTTGTTCGAAAGCCTTGCCCCCCATGCAAATTGTAAGGATACTCCATTATGCAATACCTATGATTCTGACGCGTCGACTAAACTAGATTCGCCTTGAACACAATTTGAACCCGTCTACGTATAGTTTCGAACTTCTCTCGAAGGAACAAAAGCACTCGCCGGTTCGAAGCACTCTCGTTCTCTCCTACTGTCTATGTATCTACCAACCTATCTATAACTTTATCCTTGCTCTTAGGTCTTGTCAGGGATGATAGACTACGATTATTTTGGGGGTTTGATGCCTGAACACCTGATACCGGAACACCTAATACCGAGTCTGCCTTGAAAGTCCACGACGAAACTTGTTTCTTTTTGTTTGGTCTCCCTCACGGGAACGAGACAAGAAACAAGAAAGAGTTGTTCGAATACTCTGATAACAATAACTGGTACTTCAAGTAAGTACTACCAGTCGTAATGTACATGTACAATAGTCGTAGTAACATAAGAAATACGCACAAAAACAAAAACAAGCCGATGTGTTCGATGAAAGCAACACGCAAGCCGTCCGGCTCGGCACGGCGGGTGAGAAGATGATGTGCAACTGTGGCCAGAATGTTCCACCATCTCGATACAAATCCAATGTTCGAAGTTTTGAACCCCAGAAGAAAAAGTGCCCATAAAGAAAGACACGTGCGTTTTTATCGCGCTTCCTACTGTTGGCAAGTATCGGCCGGTACGAGTACGATTGAAACGACGGCACGACCACGGTTTTGTGTGTGTCATCGGTTCTTACAACCGGTGCATCTATTGCTACTGGTGAAATTGAAATAAGAACTACTGAAGTACTTCTACAATGCAAGCTGAGTACAGTACTACTAGTACTAGTAGTAGTAGTACTACTACTAGTACCAGTACTAGTATTAAAGTATTACTTCCTCTGTCCAGTAATGAGTGTACTCTGTGACCATTTCTACTGTCCACAACTGAGTGTCCTGCACCCTGGTGATTGCTTATCAGTTTTTTTGAGTTGTTGGGATTCCGTAAATGACTGTGGTGTAGCACACATTAGCAGCATGAATTTAAAAAAGAAATATATTCTTGTTCATACATGACAAGGAAAATATGACACACTCCTCTATTGACAAAACAATCTAAAGTTGTCATTGACAATGGTACATGATTGATAAAAGAAAGTTCTTCTTTATTGACAAGAATTACAACCTCAAGAATTTCTTGTCACTCCTCTTAGTAGTTCTTATCATGTGCAGCAAGCATTGGCATATCAAAAATGACTATTACTACAGATATCATAACAAGTGATTGCAGTACTAAGAAAGTGGTTCCCATCAATAATTTCATGATGTCATCTGTAGCCCAGTAGAGAACACAGTGCAAAATATACTGAGGTAGTTTGCAACTATTCTCATGGTGGAGAACCAATCCTGCTTCTTTCTCAGAAGGCAAACCATGCTTAGAATTTTGGGGAGCAACACTCAGTAGAGCTCTGTAGAATTTTTACTGAAAAAATTAAGGATTGCATCACTAAATTAACAATGGGAGCCACTTTCTTTAGTGCCACAATCACTTGTTATGATATTGGTACTAGTATTAGCCAAATGATATTTAAAACACATTCATATGCCAAAAATAGCTCTGTTTGAAGAAGGTCAATATCTTTTTAAGTGCTGGTGTGGCATTGAAAGGAATAACATATTTTAATAGTGTTAAACAAGATTGACAGAATAAAAAAATCCATCCAATTTGGGCATGATAGTATATTTGGCTTGTTTCACTACTAGAAAAGGTGCACAGCGTCACTCATTCTTACTGCACAGAGGAAGTAGTAGTAGTAGTAGTAGTAGTAGTAGTAGTAGTAGTAGTAGTAGTAGTAGTAAAACAAGTGGCAATCCCTCTGCTGGTGGTGGTGTTCTTGTTCCCACCAGCAAGAAGAAAGAATACCACATTATTATGATAAGGATGTCTTTTTTACACCACTCCCACTACTTATATAGTCCCTCTGTCCTTAAACTAGTGTCCAATTTTGCACCTCCTCTAGGGTCAAAATAAGCTCAATACTACTAGGTTGATTTCAATGGTTCTTTCTTTGCAGTACTATTTACTAAATGTGTTAGGCCTTCTTTCAGTGTTCTTGTCCCAGCACTAATAAAGTTAGTATAGGCCTTCCACCAGAGCTATTTTTGGTGTATGAACATCATTTTACTATTAGTTACATTCCAATGGTCATTTTGATATGCTGATCAAAACAGCTAAGAAGAGAGACAAATTGTTGAGGCTGTAATTCTCTTCCTCAGATAGATGCCTTGCTTCAATCACCAGTCATTGACGCGTAATTTCATGTGCAAGAATCATTTTTAAAGTCATGTTTAAAAATCAAGTTCTTACTCATTTCTATTCTCCACTTTTGATTCTACACATAATTCTTCTACAAATTCATTACTTAAATTCAACTATTAAAAGCATTAAGTAAATTGTAGACACTTGTTTCATGGACAGCAAAAAAAGTCATAGCAGACTCCTGTTTCTGGACTAGTTAGTCATTCATCTTGGATTACACTGGTGTTCTGCTGACTGAGTAATACTTTTGCATGTTCTTCATATTGTTGTGTTGTATGAGTAGTAATTATGGAGTACTAGCCCTTCAAGCAGTGTCATTTTTAGAATGTGAATGAGATTTAGCAGCACTGGTGGTTGTTGAACAACAAAGGGTCCCAGAAACAGTCATGTTGATATGCCACTATGTGTTAGTCATTGTTGTTTAAAGGAGGAGGTCCTGGTGGTATATAGTCTTGGTCAAAATATTTTTCTAACCATTTAGAATTGCATGTTTTGACTCTCTAGTACTGATTGTGTATGATCTTCTCAGTAATTTAAAAATGTTAGGTCAAATGAAACTAGTGATGAGCACTAACTAACTTCTTATTATACACACTCCTTGTTCAAGAAGAACAGGAGTAAAATATCAGAAGGCAAATCATGCTGCCTCCTTCTTTCAGAATCCATTCTCCTTGTTCTTTAAATATGGTACTAAAAATAGTACTCTCCAATTTTCTTCTAGAATATTTCTTGTAGACATGATTTCTCTAAGGATGCAAACTAGGAGGAACAATTCTACAACTACTACTAGTACTTCTAGTAGTATTTCTGGTGGTAGTACTACTCCTGCTACCTTTGGTACCACTACTATAGTAGTAGCAATGTACTAGTTGTGGTTTTGACTTCATCACTTTTCATCATTAATGACAGCATAATTGCAGTAGTAGTAATACAAGTGTTGAGTTAACTTATAAAGGGACTCTCCTAACTTTTTGTTAATATCCTCCTGGAACCAACAAATAGGAACATTGCTCAATCTTCTGCTTCTTAAATCACATTAAAATCTTTTGTATAGTGTTCATCATTATAGTAGTGTCTTCTTTGAGCCTACTTTACACTACTGGTATGCAAAGTAAATTATGTAGCACCATTGCTATCTTCAGCTCACTGCCATGGGATGCAGCATGGCCATAATGAGAATGGGAGGTACTACCATGCTTGCGTCATATGTGCCGGCAGTTGTTGCAATGCCATGTTAGCATCTCTTGTCCTATCAGTGTATTACAAATGACTATGTGATGGAACTATGCTCAATATTTTCACGATATACCAATTCTATTTGATCATGTCATTCTTTAGCTGCTGCTGTGCCACAGACATTTTACTGCTATTTTTGAGGAACTGGTGGACAAAAATGCTTTCATTGATGGAAAAAATCATGTTCACTAGCAGATTGTCATACCTTGAAGTAGCATATTCAAGAAACACAACAACAGTTACCCCTATCACAACCAACACAGATTTAGCAGAAGAAAGATCACAATTTGTATCATACTACTAGTACTACTAGCACTACTACTACTAGGAGTAGTAGAAAGAAGTTGATCATATGATGAACCACAATGACATTTTTGTTCTTGGAGCCACTTCTTTTATCTCATTCTTTTTCAAACCCCAACCCCAACCCCAATTTTTCCACACAATCAATGCTAGTACTACCAGTAGCAAGAATATTATGTCTTAATAGCCCTTTTACTATTTTCAATCTTATGAAGTGAGGTGGTGGTGGTGGTTTTCCTCCTCTCCAATGCAGCATCCACCACCACCACTGCCCATACTACTACTACTAGTTCTAGCAGCAGGAGATAATGAGTTGTTGGGTGCTGGTGGTGTTCTGGTCATCATTCTCCTTCTTGCTGGTGATGCTGGTGAGGATGGGGAGTGGTGATACTGCTGGGTGATAGTACTAATGATGATGATCACGATGATGATGACAATGATGAGGGAAATGATGATGATGATACTAAGTAATGATGATAATGATAATGATGATGATGTTTTTGTTTTTGTATGAAATATATGACATAGATCAACTCAAGCTAACAATAGTAGCTTGTTACTTCTTGAACATCTTCGTTTGGTCCCTTTTTGATCTGTTAGTTACTAACCTCAACCCTACATTGACTCGTAGACTCAATCTGACCGTGCCAGGACTGCGAGCGAACAAAAAATTGGAACGCTCTTTTCAATTTCAAATATGTGCCGTACGAACGATGCACGAGCACCGTCAAAATATTACCGTAGGCTGATCTCGTAAAATCTCTTCAGATCGTTGAAGGCCTAATCGTCGTACGTCCGGGTAGTGCGTACGGTACGGTACGGTACTGTTGTGATGACATAACATCTTACTAGTAAGGTTTCTACGAGATACGAATACGAGTACAGCTTCGAACAGAACTAAGAACAAAAGTCTATTACGACACGGCAACAACGAGCGCAACATCCTTAGCTCTAACGATCGATATAGATAGCGACAGCCAACACTGTACGCATCTGACTCCTTCTTTGTTTTCCTGAATACAGTGCAAGTGGAAGACGACAAACGAGCCCATACTTCGGATTGCTTCTGACTCCTTTAAATATTGGACTGTTTGGTTGATTTTGATTGTTTCATAAATTTCTTCCTTCCTTAGTCTCCATTGCTGTCTTCGAAGACATTCCTTTTGCCACAAACGGGAAACGCCAGGAAAAACATACTGACAAGACTAACATTATGTGGGGTGCTCTGAAAAAAGACTTTGGGGAATTCGTCTCGGTGCGTAGGATGTGTTGTGTGTATTAGTGGGCGAGACGTGAATCGAGATTCGATGAGAACGAAAGGTTCCACACGACTGATTGCAATTGAGTTGAAGTGCATTTTATTGAGTTGAATTCTTATCGACCGTGCTCGACCTTCATTCCATTCCATCTGCCTTTAATTCCTTTTCGCTCCAATCCATGTGTTGCCTTTCAGACCGTGGCAACGGATGCGAACGAAACGCTCCAGGCCATCGACCAGAAGATGGACGAACCACTCGTTGGGCAACGAACCGATGATCAGGGCGGTGATGAAGGTTACATGGGGCAGGAAGCGTCCCCAATCGATCTCGATACGGGAATGGTCCTAGACCACGTCGTGGGCGACGTCGAGGAAGAGGACGGCGACGAGGTCTTTTCGTGGAAGTCCCCAGACGAGAATCCCACCGCGGAAGAAATGCGGGATCAATTGGTCCTCTGCGAAGATGTCTTCAAGGATTCGCTTGTGTCGGAATCAGACGAAAGCACTAGCAAAGAAGAAGAAGAAGAAAAAGAAGAAGACAGATCCGACAGCAATGAGACGCCCCTGCTGGAAACCGTAGCAACCGCGACCAAGCCATCCAACGACGACGCGGCTCGAAGCTTTCTCGAAGAGTTCGACGTGGCGTCCAAAACGGACGAAATCTCTGCGTTGCTCGAAGAAAACGTGGCACTAAAGACAACTTTTTCCATGGTAGCCACCGACCAGAGCGAGGTAACCTATTCCGACTTCTGGACCCGGTATTACTTCCGTATCGCCGATCCCGACCGCGTGGCCGAAACCTACGGAGTCTATTACCGAAAGGAACTGGAGGCATTTGAACAACGACGGGAAGAAGCCGAAGCCGCTGCTCGGGACGCCGCTGCCAACGACAACCTTGCCAGGGGAATTTCCAATGTGACCAACTTTTTCGGTGGTGTCGTGAACCGCCTGACCCAAGAAGACGACGAGGGTGGTGCCGACGAGGCCGGCGTCGACGAAAGCATGGATGTCGACGACGAAAGTGCTCCACAGACGTCCGGCCTCGGAGGGTTCTTTAACAGCGTCACGGGTGGAGGTGTCGGCCGCCCACCCTTTGTTTTGAATACCGCCGTAAGCGACGACGAATATGATGATTATCAAGCACCAGAAGAGGAAGACGACGATGATTCTGAGGTGGAACTAGGATGGGACGACGACGACGAGGATCTCGAGTCTGACGATGACGACGAACAAAATACCAGTGCCACCATGCAATTCAAGGACGGCGACGATCTCAGCGAAACAGTAGATTTTAAGGACGCCGAAAAGGAAGGCCTGCTGGATCAGTTGGAACAGGCCAGGGCCGAACGGGATGCCCTCCAGAAGACTGTCGCCATGCAAACCGAGGAACTAAAGAAAGCGAGAACGGCCGACATTGCCGCCATTTCTCCTCCCGCTGCTGTTCTGGAGGGTGGAGACAAAGACGAGGAGGTCCAGAAACTGTCTATACAGCTCTTTGAAAAGGACTCGGAACTGGCTGCTCTCAGAGCCAAGCTGGAGGACGACAAAAACGAAGCGAAGGATCAACAGCAGCAGCAAGAAACGCTCGAGAAGTTGCTTCAATCAATCGCGGAAAAGGACGCGGAACTCGAAGCCCTCCGCAGGAGTACTGATGAGCGTATTGAAATGCTGCAAAATACAGTGGATCAAAAAACCACCGAGCAGGAGCGATTGCGAACAGAGTGGGACTCCGAGAAGGAGGCCCTTTTGTTGGAGAAAGAGGCGAACCGGCAAGACACTTCCGTGGTCACCGCTGAGAAGGCTGACGACGCGGAGATGTTGGCACTGCGTTCTAAGATCGCCGAGCAGGAACAGAAGATCGAAGAGCTCGTTGCGTCCAAGGATGCTGCCGAGAAGGCAAACAGCGTGGAAATAGTGGCACTTCGGTCCAAGGTTGCCGAGCAGGAACAAAAAATCGAAGAACTTGTCGAATCGACAACCGCCCAGGAGGCAGACGGCGTGGAAATGGCGTCACTGCGTTCCAAGGTCGCCGAGCAGGAACAGAAAATCGAAGATCTCGTTATGTCCAAGGCGACCGCCCAGGAGGCAGACGGCGCGGAGATGGCGGCACTACGGTCCAAAGTAGACGAGCAGGAAAAGAAAATCGAAGAACTCGCTGCCTCCAAGGCGGCCGCCACCGAAGAGCTCCAACACCAAACCGAGCAGAGTGCCCAAGAGCAGGAAGCCTTGCGTACCACCCTCCAGTTGAAAATCGAAGGCTTGGAACAAAGACTGTTGGTTGCTACGAATCAGGAAGAAAGTGATGTCGCCGCCATGGAAGCTCTGATTTCCGAAAAGGAAGCCACTAATGTCAAACTCCAGACTGCCCTAGCGGAATGCCAGAGCAAGCTGGCAAAGGTCACAGAAAGAAACTCCCAAGACCAAGCGGCACTCCGCGCTGACCTCGAGGCGCAGATCGACACCCTGATTGATCAATCCTCAAAGCGGGACGATGAATACAAGCAGACCAAAAAACAGCACACATTGGAGGTGTCCGAGCTGGGGGAACAATTGGCGTCCTCCCGGGCCGTCCTTGATCTCCTGAAGGTTTCGAACATTGCCGAGGCCACCAATCTCCTTGCTTCATTGGAAGCCAATCGATCGGAACTCGAACGGAGCAAGGCCGAGCTTTCGGCTGCGCTGACGGCTCCGGCCTCCCCGGGGTCGAGCTCTACTGGGGTGCAGGTGCGGCTTCCGAGCGGCGACGACGGTGAACCAGTCTCTATGCCTTCGGCATCTCCCAACGAACCAGGTAACAACGCTGATGCCGACGACGATGACGACGACGACGGCTGGGGCGACGACTGGTAAACAGCACAAACAGTTTCGATATAACTCAGCCTGGTGCGTTGTCCCCATCTTTTGTTTTCAAACAAATTATACGCACGTGCAAACATACAGCACACACCACTATGAATGGAATGCACCTAGTTTCAAATTTATGTCATTAGCATTGCACAGGAGTCCTACAATAATGTTATTAATTACATAATCATACAGCATGCCATACGATGTGTGCTGAGCCCACGGGCCTTTTTTCACCTAGATTCAAGCCAGACTTGATGGTACGAATGCACTTTTCTCCGATGCAAAATCGGCTTCGGAAGGCCCAGAACAAAGCGCACCGCATCGCGAAGCATTCACTGGGCGCCCCGAACGGCCGGACTGTATCGCATTCGATTGATGTATTCAGCGTTCCTACTGAAGCTGTACCGCTAGACGGAGCACCACGGTCGTCCCGACGGGACGGTTTGTTTTGTTGCCGTGCTCAACGACACTGTACCGTATGATGTGCACTGAACGTATGCAAATGGCATTCGCACAAAATCATCGGTTCGGTGCCGTTTCAAAGACAAAACAGCCGGTCGCTGTGTATGGTATCGTATTGTCAAGGCGACTCGATGGGGGAAGAGAACCAAACACAAGGATTTCAGAAGATCCACTGGGCCCTCGCACAACCTCCGGCTTGAAGGGCCTAGGAGGGTTCCAGTAGTACGAAAACCGTACTGAGACCTGAGACTACAAAAAATCAACGATTTTGTAATCGTGAAACGCCGAAAGTTATTAGTCTGGTGACATGGCGAACACAACGACAGACGCATGCACGAGGATCTTTACTTAGGTGGTGATGATGATAAAATAGACAGCATCAAGATGCATACGGCGGTCCCGATGCTCGTATTCTGTATTTAAGCTGTCTGTTTACCTATATAATTTTTCTTATTTGTTTTTAAAACTCAACCGACCAATTATTGGTGAAGGGAACAAGCTATGTGTAAGTAATTTCGTCGAATACGGGGTGCACCTTGGTGTCACGCCAATCTTTTGAAGAGGAAGAATACCTTCTCGGAAAAGGCGCGGTTTCGAAGTGAACACATCATAAGGGGGGTATCAAGTATTCAAACAAGACCTTACCTGGTATCAGTGTACGTAAAAGTGTTTGTGGAAATCAAAAATTATGATAGATTCAATTCTCTGTACAAACTTCTTGAATGTGGTACAGACTTATCCACCCTTAGTAAATCTTGGGATCTTTCTGCCCAAAATTCTAAATTTCTTTCGACGAAAACTTCGTTGTGCGGAACTTGTTCTCGGCTCGTACACCCTCACCCTTCAGTTTCTCGTTGCGCTACCTAGCACCTCTATTTTTGTCAAAGGATATAGTGTGATATTGTCGACCTGCCGTCTCAGTTCCGTTGCACTCGTTCAAATAAACAATTATTAGCCCGCTGTCGAGGAGAACGTTAAGCAATTTGACAACTCACACTTTATTGTTGCGATTGATTCTACATAACAACACAAGAGTAGACTACCATTATCTTTGTAGTGGCACAAAGTCGAACGCAAGGAAGCAGTCTTTCTCAAGTCTGAAGCAGCAGAGAGCATAGAATAATATCACACCATCAGCTCGGAGCCTAACAGAGTCGAAAAGCACTGCTGTTGCTGCTACCTAAAGAGCCAACGATGAAGTTCACCAGTAGAATCGGCCGCACAGGGCTCCTATTCCTTGCAGCCATTCTGGTTTGTGATCCCCTCAACTGGGGGTTCGTGAGCGCCGAGGAGGAGAATCCCGAGCCTACCCGACAACCGACTCGATCACCAACCAGGTCCCCCACATTCGCTCCCACCAGGAGCCCAACACATGCACCAACGAAGGCTCCGACGAAGGCGCCAACCAAGGCACCAACCAAGGGGCCAACCAAGGAACCAACCAAGGCGCCAACAAAGGCGCCAACGAAACAACCTACGGACGGTCCTACCCGAAAGCCCACCAAAAAGCCAACGAGGAATCCAACAAAGAAACCAACAAGGAAACCGTCGAGGAAACCCACGAGAAAGCCCACTCGAAAGCCGAGCAGGAAACCCACCAAGAAGCCCACTCGAAAGCCCACAAGGAAGCCCACAAACAAGCCCACGACTGCGAAAACAAACCCCGTTGCGCCAACACCGGCCGTTCCCGGAACACCGGCAACAACCCCCGCTCCCACAACCATCGCTCCAACAGCAGCACCTCCCTCGGTGACCGTGAGCGTCTTGATCGCCGTCCCCGCCGCCACCCCCCCGAGCGTCGTCGAAGAACAGGTCGAGCAGGCCGTTCAGGACATTTTGGAGGCCAGCTCCGTCGGTACCCCTGCCAACTACCCCGTTACGTCCCCCGACGGCAATGCAGCGACCGAGGCGCCTGATGGCAACGTCACGACTACGGCCCCTGTCAGCAATAATACTATTGGACTCCGTCATCTGCAACAGAGCAAGCAACAGAACAACAACAACAACAACAACGCCGATCTTCCCAATAATTGCTTCTTGGAACCAACGCTCACCGGAAGTACTACCGACGCGGATTGCGAGTCACTCGGCAACGGATCGTTTGCGTATGTATGCGGTACCAATGTGGCCGAATTTGTTTGTTGTAAAAGGGACCGTGGAGCTCAAATCAACTTTTCGCGCGGCGAAGGAGGAAAATGCCAGAGAAGCACCGAAATCGCAGGAGGAGGCGGTGCAGGAGGCACAGGCGGTGGCACTGGCGGCGGTGCAGGAGGTGCTGGTGGCACCGGAGGCACAGGCGGCACCGGAGGCGGCGGCACTGGTGGCGGTGCAGGAGGGGCTGGTGGCACCGGAGGTGGCACTGGTGGCGGTACAGGAGGTGCTGGTGGCACCGGAGGTGGCACTGGTGGCACAGGAGTAGTTCCTCCCACCGCTCCTCCCAAGGCCGTCAGATACGATCCCGCCGTCAACACAATAGACGTACTCACCATTCCGGAGAATTGCTCATCGTTTACAGTCGAAACGACCACCGGCAACCAATGCCTACGCGTCATCATTACAGTGACTGGAACCACCCAAGCAAGTCTGACTGTCTTCGAGAGCAAGATCGAAGAGGCGGTGGAAGATAAGACCCTGGAAACCCAACTCGCAACCTTCGGTCTAACTGCACAGACCGAGATGGTTCCTGTGGCGGTCCTTTCTACGGATGCGCCAACCGTGGCTCCCAGTACATGTCGATCGATCTGTACGTGTTACTCGAATAAAATTCAACTATGTTTGGTTCTTGTTGTCGCTGTTGCTCTATCTCGCAGTTTGGAAGTTTCATTATGATTCAACATTTCACACTCTTTTTTTTCTTGTTTCGGTTTCCAACATGGTTCACTTTTTTCCACCAGACGATATCGCATGCTCAGATTTCCTGGTGCTTTGTAGCCTGATCAATCAAGCTGGATTGGAGAATGTACTGAGCGACAGCAAGAGCAACATGACTTTGTTTGCACCCACGGACGCTGCCTTCAACGCCGCTCTAAAGGCCGGTTTGGATACCTCTGAAGTGCTTCTACTCAGTGAGACCCTCCTCTACCACACGGTGAAAGACGAAGCTATCAAGTCGACAGACATTGATTGCGATGCCACAACTGACCTAACCATGGCCAACGATGAAATTACAAAAGTCTCGTGTAAGGGTACCAAAAAGAGAATTAGAGTAGAAGGAGAGGGAAACGATCCAGATAATTTGCCGAAGGTGGTAGTTGCAGACATCGAAGCTTGCAATGGTTTCATCCACTCAATTGATCAAGTTATTCTGTTGGGTCTCGAAACGGGAACAGAGAATCCAACGTCGGAGATTACCTACGTCGACTTGTGTCCGCAATTTTCGGATGACTGTCAAAAGTGTCTCGAAAATGATGATTGTCTGTATTGCCGAGACGAGCCCGGGAGCTGCTTCAACAGGTATCCAAATCTTCGCGCGCCGGATGAAACCCCAGATCAGAACAAAGGCTCCGGTGGCAATAAGGTTTCGAGATTGCTATTTTCCGACGACCAACGATTCCTTCAGGAGTGCAAAGGCATTCTCACCAGCACGGCATCTGTCTGCGACGCCCCGACAGAGGCACCTGCTGGTAGCCCGGACAAAGATGGCGACTCGAAAGATACAACTTCTGGTAAGGATTCCGACAAGACCGATACGAAAGATCCCGATGCTGACAAGGACAGCGATAAGGGCAGCGACAAGGACAGTGCTGTTTCTTTATTCTCGGCAACGAATGCGATTGCAATCGGAGCAGCCTCTACAATTCTTTTGTACATTGTGTAATCAATCAACCATGGAGATTTAACAGAAAATTGATGGGCAATGAAGCTATATTTAGAGCAAAATGATGAACATTTATGTGAATGAGTCACGGAAGGTTTTATTTGTTATGTTTCGTTGTAATTATGTACAATTAAATTTAAAATTTTAGTTTTCGTTTGTGTGCAAGCCGCGTTCACCATTATAGTACAGATTATTATTTTTTCCTAATCCATTCGATATGATCGCGAGGTGTTCGAATATGTGGCAATGAATAGAAAGAAACTTTTATTCGTGTGCGCATCAAACATCTTTGCAATGTTTTGATGAGGTGTCATCACCCCCCGCATATTCAATCCGCACCATGACATACGACAGCGTTCCTCCGCTTTGAATCGAGTTGGTTCGCTCACTCATCGCCGTGTTCTTTGGTACAACGCAATGCCGGGACGCCGGCACGACGGGCAGTGGTTGCTCTTCATCAGCCATTCCTTGAGGCAATCCTTGTGGAAATAGTGTCCACAAGGGATGTCCCCAACCAACTCACCCTCCTCGATTTCACACAAACAAATGGAACATGTGTTTTCGGAGATATCCTCCTCTTCGAGGTTGCTGTAGCTGTTTGCAATGGTCGTATCGGGATCATTGGTTTCACTGTCATCACTGTTTGAGTTTTCAACAGCAATGGTACTCGTTGTCTGCGGGGGAGAATCATCTTTCTTCTCAGAAGGCGTGGAGTCTGCGCCACCAATTGTTCGAATCTTGTTGGTGTCTTCGACGGATACATCTTGATTGTCGTCTCTATCGCGTTTTCCCGCTTCGAAATGCTCGTGGTCTGCGATGGTTTCTGGTTTGGAAGGGCAGAATACCTTGGTGCGGAGAAAGAGGCATTCCTGCTGCGGCTGTGAATCGTCATTGCTGTCGTCATCTTCATTGTTATCGCCGGTGCGCAACATACGCCGGCGCCTCCTTCGTTCCCGACGGACCCTTGCGTCGAGCGAGGTCAGGTTCACCAGGTGCTCCCACCGGCCTCCATCGGGATAGGCTGGAGGCCACCAATACACCGGAGCCAACATAGCGCGCAGGTTCTCTTGTTCTGTTGAAAGCATGCTGCCTTCATCGGGATCCTCTCCCCTCCTACGACGCCGCCTTTCCTCTCGCCGGCGTCGCAATCGTTCACGCTTGACCCTTCGTTCCTCCATCTGAACGGCCGAGTACCATAGCCACGAAATGAATTCATTGTTCGTCCGCTCGGCCTGGTCCCTCATATCGTGGTCAAGCATCTCGTAGTTTTCGTAGCTGCCAAACCAGGGGTCGATGTAAGGAGGGGGAAGGTCGTCTCCATTTTGTACAGAGTCTTCCGTGTTACGGGTGGTAGGAACCACCAACTCCATCGAAGTGTTGTTGGGTTGGTCTTCATTTTCGTTGCTAGAGTTGTTGGTTTCCGTGGGGGTTGATTGATCCAAAGTGGTCCCCACTGCAATTTCCCCGCCTTCTCCCCTTGCGGCAACGGGTGATCTGCCTTCTTCTACGTCCGGAGGAGGAGGAGCTTCGATCTGGCGGAGGGGGCTCCCGCCACACATTACGCAACAGCGACCGTGCATGAAGAGCATTGTCGTTCGCCACACATAACCTCGACAGCGCCGGCCGTAGTTGGTCGCAAACCAGAGATAGATCAGCATGGCTACCCAGAAGCAGCAGAGGGGCCAGGCGCTTCGGACAAATTCGGCCAACCGATCCTCCACGTAGCAAGCAGCAAGGTATGATCCCGGTGCCGTGTGGACCACCCCATCCTGCCCGACTATGGCCTGGGCCCGGCAGACGTTGGGATCCCCGAATGAAGGCTTGCCGTCGTTGAAGTCGCCATTGGTGTCGACAGGGCACCACACAGGGGGATTCCGGACAACGCTTGTGCTGTCGACCGGCTGTCCCGGTTCATTCAGAGTACCCTGAAAAATGGCAGCGCACCAGCATTCACGGGCTAAGACTATGTTGTCCTTAGTTCTGTTCTGGTATAGAATGCTGTCGACCCCACTCAATCCCGTTTTCAGCAATCCGTCCTCGTCCAAGCTGGATGATTGCTTGTATAAAGTCCTGCCCGGATCGTTGACTTCGTCTCCCTCTTCGATTACCTCATACAGATTGGCTTCCTCTGACCATCGGAGCCTCCGGATTGGATTCTCGGTTATGTTCCCGAGATGGTCTTCGATGTAATCCAGGCCGCACATTACGGTGTACGTGGAACTTCCGTCCTCATTGAACCGGTGGTGGAGCTGAAAGGACATGATTTTCTCGTGGAAACAATGAAACAACCAATCGGTTCGGTTCGATTTCGATATGATTTGGTTCCCCTATTCTTCCACTACAATATTGGAACAAACTGTAGATGGTAATTAACAATGTGTTGTCGCATCAATCACTATTTCGAGCTTCTCTCTACCTCGTAGTTGATTTTGACAAAATAATCATACCCAAACTCTGACTAAAAAGTTGAATTAATACCGTCATGAGCAGCAACGTACGGTACGTACGTACGTTAGAGTCAGCTCCGGCGACAAAAAAAATTATTATTATTTGTATTGTGTTGTGCCTCTTCCGAAAGAATGAGTTGTTCTCTAATAGAAAATCACAGGACTACGAGGCACCGTCTTGCGGAAAATGGAAAATGCGCATGTGGGTTTGCATAAGCCCCTTATTAAATCCTTAATGCACGGGCGAAAGCAAAAACATACCGGTTCCTCCGCAGATCCGCAGATCATCAAACATCTTTATGTACTCGTAGTACATACTACAAGTACGAATATCATGGAAGACTACACAGGGTACCACTTTCATTTCTATTACGGTACGTACTGGGTACAAAGAAGTAGAAGTAGTAATCAGAGAGAAACAAAATAAAATGTCAGAAAAAACATATCAACCAAATGATAGTTGTTGTACTAGTAGTACTTTATATTTTAGTGCAACTTGATAACTCATACCAATGGAGCGCCAAGCCACCAGGAGCATGTGCCAACAATAAGAACCCACAGAAGGAGGAGGATCAAAATTAGTCGTAGTAAAATTAGCACCGTCCCCATATCGACTAATATTTGCTCTATTTACACAACAATCACCCCTCACCATTTGTGTTCGATATGACAGAAGTAGCGCCGGAACCAGTAATCGTTTTTCTGGTAGCTACTTATTCAAACAAAAAGAAAGTATTAGGGAAAGACAAGCTGAACATGGTTGTCGTGACATTGTGTTACATTTTAGGACACACGTTCAGAATACGAATGATCTTGTTTGAATTGACTATATTTGGTTCGTTGTGTATGCTGTCGAAGCCGAGCTCAATCGCACGCTCGCTAGGACATCCCGATCTTCGATCCCATCAAAAACATCGTCGCCATTTGTATCTCTTTCGTCGTTGTCACGTAAAGTAATTACCGAGTCATCGTTGCTCACATAAAGGTTCTCAGTTGTTCCGTTTGCAACTCTCCTCGATGACTTTTCATCAAACGGAAACGTGATTTCGTCACTGTCGTGACGGTAGTAGCAATCGCTGCTGCCAACAGTATGTTTTGGTGCCTGGTGGAGTTGGTTTTTATCTTCTTCTTGAACGGTCCTCTTGAAAAGATTCCAGAGCCACGACCTAGCCTGGGACACCTGCGGTTTGTCCACTTGTTTGTCCTCGTTTTTCGTCAGAGCATAAGGTGTCACGGACTGTTGCTCGGCCATTTCTAATTCTGCAGTGGAGGAATCGTCGTCGGTGGTTGAATCGTGGTCCTCCTCATATGTGCGCTTTCTTCTACCGGTGTTCCTGCGCCTGTGTTTTCGCCTGGAGCGCGGCCGTCGAACACGTATGTTCAGCATGATGAAATACAGGACAACGAACAAGACTACTACAAGACCAATAATAGCTCCAACTCGTTCTCCTTTTGTCAGCAGCTGATCGTCATAGCTACTGCCGCTGGTGGTGGTGGTCTTCTTGTTATTCGTACTATTGCTACCGCTCCCATATGTGTTGCGCTGTTCCATGCGTTCGTGCGGACCATCTTGGTTGTATGGGCCCTCAAGATGTCGGGGCATTTCTGTAATATCCTGCAGACTTGTAGGAGGAAAGCGAGAAGTGGTGGACGAGTGTCTGTAGGGTCGCTTCATTGTATCTGTTGTAGCCATATTCTTTGATTTGTGTAGCTGGTACAGCGGGGCTGATGACGTTAGTAGCTCGATCAATATGAAACAAATGAGCGTATGCGAAAGTCATTTGCAAGATTTGCATTTTGCTATTTCCCATCCAAAATATTAACCGAAAAAGTCGGAGGACACCAGCTGCCAAAGGATACATGTAGACTTTTTATGGTGTTGGGCCCTAACCTAATCGACAAAATTGTACCTGTTCAACGGCAAATACCCTTCACAGTTGCGAAACAGGTTTTCCTTGAATAGGCGAGAACGGAAGGCCAATCGGCATTTCGATCAGCCGGCCAGCCGATTGCGAGTGGTACACTTCCTCGTAGAATCTTGGGTACCGGGTATGAAACCCCTCCCAATCGTGTTTGCTTTTGGTCCTACCGTCAATACTACCTGTGTTACTTCCTCGTCCGTCCCAAAGGAATGAATGTCTTTGGGTGATTATACAACAAGTAGTAGTGCTTCTTTCTGCACCAGCATAGTTATAAATGTAGGTCCTCTAGTGTTACATTCCATGCAATCAGAGAGATAAAAGTACTACCAATAGTAGTAGAAGTACAGTTAAGCTGGAATAAACAAAAACAAGCATGAAGCAAGAAGCACCAATGGCTCTTCATCACAAGGGAGGGGCAGCAAGACAGACAACAAGACGAACAACAACAAGAGGGACAACAGCATGAACTGCAAGACAAACAGCAAGAGGAACAACAAGAGGAACAACAAGATGAACAACAAGACAAACAACAAGACAAACAACAATGTGAGCCTAAATCACGAGTAGATAGTGAATAAGCTCACTCTTTATTGTAAACCACGTATTCACGTACACTAAGGAGCCTATTAGTATTCCACAAACAAGACAAACAACAAACAGCAGCACCAGCATGACCAGCAGAGGATTACAATCCATTCTGCTGGGCACCAATTTACCAAAAACTTGCTGAATCCAGTACTAGCATATCATGTTATGTCTGAGATGTGCAAAAACTACCATGCAATTATCAGCTTCTATTGAGATCACAAGCAAAGAGGAGCTATCCTTTCCACTTCATGACATTACTACTACCATCTTTACCTTAATTTTTGTCCAGATTTGCTTATTCATCAAATTTTCCACCACGAAGAGGATATTTTGGCAGTAGTTGTAATTATAGGGGAATGTGGTGAAAAGAAGAAGCCAATTTGTTTAGAAGGAGATAGACAGTTCTGCTCAGCATCTTGTTAGTAGTTTATGTTCAATGGCATCAGTAGTATATCAGAAATCAAGGAAGATGTTCTTCTTGCTTCTTTCTTGAAGGTAGTCAACAACAAAAACATATTACTCTTTCTTTTGCTTGAGTAATTCTTCACTTGATGAAGTGACCCTTTGTGTTATAGTGTTAATCACCAAACGAATCAATCTTATTTCTGTTGCTTGTTGCAATATTACTAGGAATACGTGGTAAAGTGCACAGCATATATTTGTATTGTCTCAGTTGAGCTACTGCTTGATGTCATTGATTGATTTTAATTATTTTTCACCATCCACATTGAATTGCATACCTTGGAGATATTTCTGCGATGATACTAGCGCTCTATATGAGATAATGTACTTAGCCTTGCTGTAGCGAAACTTTTACTTATAATAGTTTATGAGTAGATCTTTCGACTCTTGAAAGAAGATGGCACTATTTTTTATATTTTTTATATCTTTGTATGTATCTGTAGTAGTATGGTTCTTGTGTCGTTCAAAAATTGGTGCTCTGCCACATGCTTGGCAATAGCAACAGTCGGATTCTGTTCTAAACCTTCCACTCGAGGTTCGTGATGGATTTATCGAAGCACAATTTCTTTTCCTTGAAAACTTTTTCGTCCTTCAAAACGACGAGGGCGATGCTTTCGGTGGACCTACTGCACGTCAGGTAGGCCAGGTTCGGATCGGGTGTGTGGCGCAGGTCGATGTTGTTGATGCTAATGATCTTGTCACCGACTTCCAGGGACGTCTTGGCGAAGAGGGAATCGGGGTCGATCTTGTCGACGTATACCCAGGTGGCCTTCTTTTTTCGCATGGCACTGCTCCCCTTCTTGTCCTTCCCGAAGGGCCGGGTCGTCCGGACCAGCTTGAAGGTCAGCCCCGAGTCCTGGCTCCTGCGGCTCTTGGGGGCAGTAATCGTGGCCGGGCGGTAGGTTTCGATCAGGAAGTCCGTTTCAATCTTGAGCTCGTATTTGGAAAGGGGCGTGTCCCTGCCGAACTCGTCCTCATCGCTCTGGCCCTCGCTGTGGTCTAGTTCTTCTTTCTTCCGGCTCCCGCGGCGGAGCTCTGGCTTTTCGATGACCAGCGTGACCATGAACGGGGCGTTGTCCATGACAGACTGGGCGTACTCGGCGTCGATGTACTGGCGGAACGACATGTCGTTGATGCTCAGGATGCGGTCTCCCACACGGAGCTTGGTGCCCCTGAAGATCGACTTTGGTTGGATCTCCCGGACCACGAGCCTGTTTTTGCCCTCCGCGGCCAGTTCGAGGCCCACCAGGCCGACCTCGCTCGGGAGGCTGCGTCGTTTTTTGGGGGTCGTGCTCCGCGAGCTGCTCGAAGTCCGTCGGTTGCCAGGTTTGCTTTCTTCGTTGGTGCAGTTGGAGGGACAGCCCTTCTGGGCCGAAATGGTGATGGTTGGCATCTTTTTCTCGTCGTCGGCGCTGTCCTCATCGTATTGCACGTTGATACTCCCGTCCTCCTTGTACTTGGAGCATCCCCTGTAGTACGTATCGATTTTCGCCCGGTTGTTGTCTTTCTCTTGGTTCTTTTTCTTGTCTTTTTTGCGTCCCACCAGCGGGGCTCCCTTGGGAGGTGCCTTTCGAATGGAGATCGAAATCGTCTTGTACTTGTGCACCGCCCTGAGGATTTCCTTCGGGCCCTCTCCCTTGCTCAGGCGCCTCCTGTTCACGCTCAGGATGGTGTCGCCGATTTCCAGCTGGGAGTTCCCGAAGAGCCCGTTCTTCGCGATGTTCGTCACGTGGACGGTGCCGTACTTGTCCTGCTCCAGCTGGATACCCGCCTTGTCGTTGGGGTTTTCCTTGCGGACGGTGATGCTGACGAGCTTGCCCGTCGACTCGTGGGAGTACGAGTGCGAGTGGGACTGCTGGGAACTCGTGGAGGAGGCGGAATGGGTCGAACCGGCTCCGACGGCGGGGGGATGGACGGTGGTGTTGCACATGCTGTTGTCGTTGTTGCTGCTGTTTCTGGGTTAGGAAAAACGTTCGATCGATCGTGTGCGCGTGTTGTGGCTCGTTTTCGAAGCTTTGGAAACAGAAAAATTATGACGGGAGACGCAGTTTTTTGTGATATCCAACTCGGAACGTGCGAACAACGTCGTGGTATGTCTTGAGAGGGACAGCTACTTTCTACGAGTACAATGCCCAGAAGAACAGAGTCATTAAGTATGTCGGTCATTGAATACTTGAAGATGTCATCGAGAAAGTTCGCAAAATAAATCGTATGCAGGTATTCTTGTTTTTAATAAACTTCTTCATAATGTCTTCAATCAAGGAAGCAATTGTTTCCTTCGACCCTATCTTGAATTAGCGGACAGGCATAGATACAGGAAAGTTGTCGAGTGAACACTCTGGAATCTTTGTTTTTTGAAAGTGCGGCCGGGGCAATGTAGGACTGACATTCTCCCACAAGCCCGTGCTGGAAACGAGGATGCACAGACCCGAACGATGGGATGGGATAACACTTGGCTAAGTTTGGTCGACTTCATTATTTCTGTCAAGGGTTTCCTACTTCAATCTAACGGATGCTGTACGACCACCGACCGACTACTAATGGGTCTGACATACATAGGGAGTATGCACTCGTACGATCCTACGGATGGGACAAAACGAAGAACCACGCAGTACAATTACGTACCCTTCCTGTCGTACGTAAACGCAGCTAGAGTACAATACGGTATTGAAATGCCGCAATTTCTTCGTCTTCGAAGTTCTTTCAAATTTGTTGAAAGTATTTCAAAACAAGACGTTTTTGGAGATCCCCAACCTTAATCAATGGATCCAGCTATCACAATCATCAATCGGACCGGGTCACACACGAACGTTCCTAGTACCTTCCATACGTACTGTACTCGATTGTTTCGAAATTCAAAAAACAATGTTAAAAAAACAAATTCCAAGTCGACATCAAATCCATACACACCACATACCGCATTGCAACGCAGTTCCAGCACTCGACCGGAACACCACCGTCGCTGAATCCTAGAGGAAGCGAGGCAAGGCAAACACCATTGCTGCCCCATTCCCGCACGAGCCCGAACAGCACTCGTAGACGTCCAACGGAGCACTTTGCCACCAAACCTACCGCCCCGAAATGACCCCAACCACCGCCGCCCCTTCGAAACCGGTGGCCGCGGGCCGCCTCCGGTCCTTTTGCCTTCTCTTGGCGCTCCTCCTGCTCTCCGCCGCCGGTGTCCGCGCGTCGGCCCCGGTCCCCGATGAAGCCCCCCTCGCGGGCGCCGCCACAGATGCCAACGCCAAAAGCGCAACCGCCCGCTTTGTGCACAAGACGATCATCATCCCCCACGACGACAAGAAGTTCCGCGGGGGGGAGGACGCGGCGTCCACCGTCGACGACCTCCTGGTGGTCGCCGACGGGGTCGGCGGCTGGGCCAACAGGGGGGTCAACCCCGGCCTGTACTCCCGCAGGCTCACCGAGCTGATCACCACGAGGTTTTCCGCCCTCTCTCCCGACGAGAAGGCGGGGGTGAACATGCGAAGGCTCCTCCACGCCGCGAACCACGAGGCGGCGTCCGAGCACCTGGGGAGCGCCACCTGCACGGTCGTCCGCCTCCTGGACGCCGAGACCCTGCAGACCCTCAACGTGGGGGACTCGACCTACAGCATCCACCGCCGCAAGACCGGCTCGTCCGGCCTGGAGGTGGTCTACGCCGCCGAGCCCGGCCAGAAGGGCTTCAACTTTCCCTACCAGCTCGGCGGGGACTACGGCGACCAGGTGGACGACCCCGGGGCCTGCGACGGACCCCGGACCCACGCGCTGGAGGACAAGGACGTGATCGTCGTCGTCAGCGACGGGGTCAACGACAACATGGACCCGGAGGAGTACCACGCGTGCATCGAAGCGTACCAGTGGAAAGGCGAGAGCAGCAAAGGCAAACCCAGCGACCTCGGCCTGGAGGACCTCGACGTTTTGAGCTTTTCGGCCGTCGCCGACTGCATCGCCCGGAAGGCCTACGCCCTGGGCAAGGACCGGAACCACTACTCCCCCTTTGCCAGGAGCGCCGCAACGTACGGCAAGCGCTACCGGGGGGGAAAGCACGACGACATTACCGTCACGGTGGCCCAGGTCGAGCCGGTCGGGCGGACGCCCCCCTCGCAAAAGGACCCCCACCGGAGCGAGAGCATCTTTCTGTACAGGGACGAGGACGGGCCCGTCGGGGCCCCGGGGGACCTGCCCTCGATGGAGGACCTCCTGGAAGCCATGGGGGAGCCGGCCCTGGAAGCCGAGTTGTAGCCCGAGGACACAAAGCGCACCGATAAGTAAAATGCCCGCAGCAAAACAAAAGCCGTTCGACCAAAACCTAATTTCCGGTGTAGGATGCCTGCGTGTGCACGAACTAAACAAGCGATTTGGATGCCGTCTTGGGTATTGTCATAGTATGTGTCATCTCTAGAAGTTTTAACTACCGTACTAGTGTTGGCTTGCATCCTTTGCCATGGATTGTGATCGGGTCGGTTCCAAACCGGCCCGTGGGGTGAAAGAAGTGGAGGTTTCTTTTTCTCCGCTTGCTCGGCAGCGTTTTGCATTTCCATTTGTTGCAGTTCGTTGCGTTGCATTGCACCGCTTTGTGTTGCGGGCCGTGCGCATGGTGGGAGCCACGCTGGTTCGAATCCGGCGGGGCGGGACGGGACAGGACAGGGCCGGTGTTCCTCTCGATTGCCGGAACGGAGGAGTCCAACCCTACCAACCCGCAGGCAGACAGGCAGGCACGCACGGACTCTCGTGCGGACTCGGACCGTCCCACGCAACGGTCCATCCGCACCGGGGAAAGGATCCTCGGAATTTCCCTGGGTCCGCCCGCTTGCGCACTTCGGCAAAGAGCAAACCGTGGCGAGGCGGCCAAGGGCTGTCACAGCGATGTTGGCCGGAGCGCCGCTGCCGTGTTTGTTGAGCATTGCTGCGTGGGTGTTCGTTTGTTTCGTTTCTATTGGTTCGTTCGTCGCCAACGGCCGGCCTCACGCGTCCTCCCCCTCGGCTTCGTCGTCGTCGTCCGTGTCCTCGATGATTTCCTCCTCGTAGATTTCTTCCTCGATGTAGTAGTCCGTCGAGAGGGAGTCGAGGGACCCGGTGACCTGCGAGAGGACAATGTCCGAGAGGAGGCGGTTCATTTCGTCAAAGACGGTCTCGTTCTGCGGAAGGTGCCTTTGCAAAGAAAAGGAGGACGAGGAAACGGCCTCCGTCCGGAGCCGGTAGACGGCCAGGGTCCCGCACGGTCCGCCCTCGTCGTCGCTGTCGCTATCGTCGTCCTCCTCCTCGCTGTCGTCGTCGTTTCCCTCCCCCTTGAGAAACTCCAGGACGTCCAGCTCGCTCATGGGGATGGTTTCCTCCGCCTCGATGAGCTTCCAGGTCTCGTCTTCCTCGTCGTCGTCCGAGTCGGAGCCCTCTCCATTCTTCGGGTCGTTGTCCTTTTCGTTGTTGCTGTTCTTGTTGCTCGCAACCTGTCTCTCGGCCAGGGCGGCCGCCGCCGCGTGGTCCTTGAGGACGGCGACGTAGTCCCCCTCGTCGCAGAGGGCCCCCCCGACCAGGTCGTACAGGACGGGCCCGGGGTGGCTTTGCCCCTCCGAGAGCCTGGTCAGGTCGAGGGTGGGAGGAACCGCTAGCTCGGACCGGTCCAGCCTGCGGCTTTCGTGGGCGTTGCTTCCGCCGGTGGTGGTGGTCGGATCGGGAAGGACGCGGTCGATTCCCAGAAAGAGGTAGCCCGTGAGCGCCGAAAAGCGCATCGACCGGGTGGTCTTCCAGGGCTGTTTTTGTTTTGTGTCGTTCTCGGTGTCGGTTTCGATGCGGCTGCTTCCGTTCTTGCCGCTGCCGCCGCCAAAGGAAAAGAGCCCGGCCGGGATCTCGACCTCAAAGTCGTAGGGCTTGGTGTCAAAGTCGTAGTACCTGCGGGCCGTCGTGGAGAGGGGCCGCTTCGCACAGTCGGCCTCGAGGAGCTGCTGGAGGGTCGGGACGGCCTCTTTTTCTTCTTCTTCGCCGCCCCCGCCGCTGGTGGTTTTGGCCGGAGGAATCCTGGACAGGTCTCCGATCGGCAGCACGTGGGGGCACCACAGCATACACCGCTCCTTGTGCGTCCTCTGGAGCAGGACGCCCGCACCGGCGCCCGCGCCCGCATCTGCGTCTCCGCGGGCCCTGCGACGGCCCACCAGGGACTGGTCCACCACGAGGCCCGTCGCCGCCTTGTCCAGGAGGGCCACCCAGAGGCGGCCGTTGAGCGGGAGCTCCCCGCAGCAGGCCCGGAGGCAGGCCAGGACCACCCGAACGGCCTCGGTCGCGTCCCCCGGGTCCCTCGGGAGGCCCATCTTCTCCAGGCAGGCGTTCAGGACGGGAAAGAAGCGGTCCGTCGGGACCGGCGTGTCGTCGGAACAGGGGTCTCCGCTTCCGCTGGGGTGGTTGTTCGACACCGAGTGGCTCGAGACCGACAGGCCGCCGTTCGAGGCCAGGCTCCCGGCCGAGGAGGAGGCGGCGTTGGCCGGGGAGATGAGGTCCCGGAAAAGGCGGCCAAAGGCCAGGAGGGTCCGGTGCTCCAGCTTGGTGCCCGCCGACGCCGAGGCGTCCTTGCCCCGGTGCGAGACGTAGTAGTGGACCAGGGCCTTGCGGAGGGGCTCGATCACGTGGGCGACGAGCTGGAGGGCCGCCAAAAAGTGGGGGGAGGGCTCGTCGCTGCTGCTGCTAGGGCCGCCGTTGCCGTTGCCATCCTTGCTTGGTTTCTCCTCTTCCGTGTTGGCCAGCGGGAGCGCCAGGCTCCGAAAGCAAATCGGTTGCTGCCGCTTTCGGCTGCCCGGCGGCATGGCGGGATCGTGGGGGGTGGGGCAGGGATGGACGGGCGGTACCGCGAAACCGTGACACACGCACGCAAAGACACACACACACACACAGAGCACTCGGGCGAGATGGGTGGTAACAGTGGGAGCTGCTGCAGGGACGCTTCGGTGGTGCTGGTTTTGCCGAGCTAGTAGTACAGTGGCTTTGTTTGGTTTGTTCTTTGTCTTGTTGTTGTTGTTGTTGTTGGAATTGCTTTCCGGTGTTCTGTATCGGAAATGGTTGTGACTACTCGTACCTTCAGAGCGAGAATCGCTCCACCAAGAACAAAAACGACGGGCAACAACACAAAATAATTTTAAGACGGTAGGTAGGGAACTTTGCTGTGAAAAATACCAAGCGGTGACCAAGACCGACGGCAGGTGATGAGGCACTCTTACGAGTACTACTCGTACGAACAACCACAACGAATGATGCTTTCTCGACGCACCGTAGTACGAACTGTACGTGAACGCACCATGCGATGGCATTTTGTCACAAGAGAGGATTCAAGATTCAAAAAGACATTGCTGGGCCGGCCGTTGCTGTGCCATCCGAATTGTTGTACGGTGCGGTACGGTACGTACTGTATGTGCACGGCGTAGCACCGTTCGTAGAGTTGCGTGCGTACTGTGTACGAGTGCCGAACGAGTTTGATTTTCCATCGAATCGATTCCCGCTCGCTCCTGCACCTCCTCCTTCGGCTTGCCGCACCAGGGGTATGTTCGTACCTTACAGCACCATCTTTCGTACCGTACGGTACGATCGATGTACGATGCACCTTTCTCGGAGACGACGATTTCGTAGAACAAATCTCGGGATTATGATATCGAGTCGCACAACAACTACCATGAACACCGCCACTATTGTCACGAAGGAAACATTCGTTCGACAGCTTGCTATGTACTTGTACTTCTGATTATATTTCTAGAATTATTCGAAACACCAATTGTATTATTGTAGCTGTCCTGGTACGACCAAAACGACCCAACCTGCTACCAGTAGTGGTAGTACTCGCAGCCCTCCGCTCCGCTACGAGTCGCCGCCGCCGCTCGTTTGCTAGGTCGCGCGCGCCGTCTCCCGGTGCCTCGCCTCGACAAAGTCCCGGAGCGACTCGTTCATGAGCCGGTAGTTCCGGTCCAGCGTCTTGTAGGGCAGGCCCATCCGCAGGGCCGGCAGCAGCCCCCCAAAGTCCTCCTTGTGGACCAGGAGGGTCCGGCCGCTCCCGTCGGCCGCCTCCTCGAGGGACACAGAGTGGTAGCCCCTAAAGAGGCAAAAGGGCCCGAAAGCCCCGACCGACCCCTTCCAGGCCAGGGTCCTGCGGTTGCCTTTGTGTTTGCCGCTTCCGCTCCCGTCGTCGACGGCGGCAAACTCAAAGCCAAAGGACTCCCAGGACCGGTCGTCGCCCTCGTAGCAGGCCCGGAGGGTTCCGGTTTTTCCGGGGGAGGGAGGGCCTTCCCCCTCCGGAAGCTCGAGGCGGGTCCACTTGTTCCAGCTCCAGTCTTCCACGTCGACCAGGGCCGCCCAGGCTAACTCGATGGGGGCGTCGATGATGGTCTCGTGGTGGATCCTCTTGTGGGGAGAGGGGTTTGATTTGGCGGAGGCGGTATTGGTTGTGGTCGTTGGTGGTGGTGGAGCGATCGCGGTCATGGCGTGGAATTGAGTTGAATTGAATTTAATTTAATTGAATTGAGCTGAATCAAATTTTGGTTTCTTTTCTTTTGGTTTCTTGTATTGTGTGTTCCAGACTTGCTCGCCGTTTCCCAATGGTTCGTGAAGCAGGAGACGGAGCGCGATGAAACACACCACAAAAAATAATTCGCCGAATCGATAGAAGGGGGCTTGGATAATCCATTTGCTTTCCCACCACGGTTCTAATTTCTAGTCGTAGTATTCAGAATCGAATGGTACGGTACGACTCGTGCTTGGTTGAGTACCAATTACAGTGTCGTAGGTACAGTAATAAATTGTACAAGTAATTGGCATCCTTTCGAAATACTGAGAAATATTTTGTTCTTCAGTAGCATCTTTTCGAGCTCGAAAATTTTTGTACTATGACAAAATATTCGATGTCATATTGTGCCTGAGTGCAGCAACCTAGTTGCATCCATTTCACTTCATTCCATGTCACAAGCAACTTTGCCAAGAGAGAGTGTTGTCTTTGAACCCATACTTGCTCACCCAACAGCGACGTTCCTACTAAATACCTTCTCTCGGTTCATGGGTTATCAATCCACACATGATGTGAACTGATGCCTTACGAATCGCGGTATGATCATGAGGAAGTGATTGTAAAGCAAAAATACCCGTATCTCGAGAACAACAATAACAGGTTCCAAAATGCCTCTAGCAGGGTAGGACCATTGACAAGAAGTCAGGTCTTTCTATTTGCGGGGTCAGGGCACAGAGTTCTACACTTCACTCGAATCTGATTCGTACTAGATCCTTTTGGTTCATTACATTTGGTGCTCAGAGCAAGGGATGCGTACAGCAAACCTAGTACCAAGTAGTTATAAGAAAGCGTCCTTCGCCCTACAGCCCTTGTAGCAGAGTATGGAGTGTCAAGTTTTTTAAAACATTTATATCCCATGTATTTACGTTTACTATTGTTACAATTTTGTTCGCAAAGCATTCCAATCGATTGCGATAGTTGTGTTTGCCAAAACTTCGGGACGACGCGGCTACAGCACCAGCGAAATGGCCAGCACCGCGGTCGCCGCGGCCGAGGCCATCGTGGTTTGCGCGTGGGACCACCGCGGCCCGAATGCCCCGGAGCTCTCTCCTTCTCCCCCGGCTCCCTCGTCGTAGACCAGGGTCGTGGTGTTGGGTTCAACCGGGGGCGCGGAGGCCGGCGTCTCCGGAGCGAGGGTCGGTTTCGTCACGGGGGGCAGCGTCGGTGGGAAGGCGTTGGGGGGCAGGGTCTGGGGCGGGGTCGGCGACGGGGCCTCGGCTTCCGACGCGGCCGAGAGCTCGCCGGCAAGGAGCGACAACTCGCCCACGCCGGCACTCCCGCACTCGTAGGTGGCCGTCTCCCCCCCAAAGACGTTCGAGCAGTCGATCGACAGATCGTGAAAGGCGCGGGTGCCCGCGCCGACCCTGGCCGAGACGTCCAGGGCGTCCTCCCGGCCGGGCCCGGTGTCGCACTCGATTACCCGGCAGCTTGAGCACTGCTGGTCGTTCACCGTGACGGTGCACTCGTCCGTGCTGCGGTCCACCACCAGCTCCCGGTCCTCGCCCCCGGACCGGAAGTTATAGGTCCGAAAGTCGGATGCCACGGCCCCGTACTGGCTGATCGTTTGTCCGAACAGGATGGTCGCGCAGATCTCGTCGCCTCCGCTGCTGCCGGTGCTGCAGTAGTCGTGGGCATCGTAGATGCTACAGAGGAGCATGTAGTCTCCCTCTTCCGAGATCCCCCGGCAGTCGCAAAAGACCTTCGAGTCCTCTCCCCCCGTCATCTCTTCCTTTGCCATCATGCACTGCTGGTAGGGATCGCGCATCTCCAGGCATTCCTGGTCCTTGATGATGGCAATTTCGTTGGCCTGGTTCTCTTCTCCGTTTCCGTTCATGAAGTAAAAGCTTTCGTAGCTGCCGAGGGAGGACACGCCCCCCTCGCTCTCGATGTCGAGCTCGAATGTGTCGAATCCGCAGCGATCCTGCCTGGGGTTGCACTTGAGGCAGCTCACGTAGACGCAGGTCAGGTGGAATCCACCGGTGCCATCGTTTTCGATGCACCGGCAGTCGACGTCGTTCGGATCGTCGAACATGGCGATCCGGTTGGCCCGTTCCTTCGAACAGGCGACGCAGGCCTCGTCAACGGTGCCCTCGCTGTTTTCGTCCGAGCAGAGCTCGGTGACGTCGTTGGTCAGGGTCTCCAGGAAGAGGTTGAAGGAACCGGTCTCGGCGGAAGAACTCCCGTGGACCCGAATGTAGTAGGTGGTTCCCTCCTCGGCCACCCAGTGGGTGTCGCAGGAACTGCCGGTTTCGCCGGTGCTCTCCTCGGACGCCGACCCGGAAACGCACACCAGGTCGTCGCAGGACGAGGCGGCGTACACGGAGATCACCGCATCAAAGTTGGTGGGGTCCCGGCACACCGAGGCCCGGATGCCCTTGCCGGATCCGACCAGGGAATACCAAAGGCTCGGGGAATCCTCGCTTGCTCCTCCGCCGCTGTTCGCACAGGACTCGATCGGGGGCGAGAGCGGGGCGAGACCGACGGTAGAGGAAACAAAGGAGACGATGGAAAAATTGTCGTTGGAGGAGGATCGAGCGAGCTTGGGATCCAGTTTCATCTCCGGGAGGACGATGGGCTGGGCTCCCTGGCAGGTGGTCGGGAGAGAGGGATCCACCGCGGCACCGCTGTCGGGGCCTTCTCCAAGGGTTTCCTTGCTGCAGGTGTTGAAGTTCGTCTTGTCGTTGGCCTCCCCGTTGGCACCGGCGGCCAGCCGGAGGATCAGTCCCTCGTTGTAGCCGGGGAACTTGTCGCAGGTGTCCAGGTAGAAGATCGGGTGGTCGATGATGTTGGAGCAGTCGACGAGCGGCCGGAGGCCGACGCCCGGATCGGAGCACTCCCTGAGCTCGCACGAGGCGCAGGTCACGCCGTCCACGGCAAGGTCGCAGCGGTTGGCGTCGTATTCCGTCAGGGCCATGGTCCGGCCGATCAGCGTGTTTCCCAGCGCGGTCCCGTGCGTGTAGGTGGTGGTCCGGGTGAGGGGCGTGAGGTTCCCGTCCGGCAGGAATCCCTGGACGAGCTCCTCGCGGAAGCAGGCCCCGTTTTCCTCGTTGGTTCCGTACGCCGCGTTGCAGACGCTCCCGCCGTTGGTCGTCCCGCACGAGCCCCCGTTGGTGGTGCAGCTCAACAGGGTTCCCGAGTCGATCGCCGAGGTTTCGTCGATCTCGAGACATTCGCAGACCATGTAGTCGTTGTCGATAGAGTGTCCCCGGTTGAGCAGGGCGAGGCGTTTTTCGTTGCAGGCCAGGAGGCTGACGGGCTCCGGAATGTTGGCCACCGGTGCCACCGGTGCCTCGGTGGGGGGAGGGAGGACCTCCTCGACCTTCTTGGCGGAACCGAATCCGCACACCCCAAAGGGCTCAAAGACGTTCCCGGCCAGGGTGGCCCGCAGGCACAGGTCGATCTTGCCGAGGCCCGGATCGGAGTTGCTGCAGTCGATCGAGGCGGCTTGCACGCCGTCCTCCGCTCCCAGCTCGCAGGCGTTCATGGTGCAGGAGTTGCAGGCGCTCCCATTGATCGTCGCCTCGCACTTTCCGCACCGCTCGGAGGTCCCCCCGGTGTTCTGGCAGTCCCACTTCCGGATGGAAACCACGGTCCCGTCCTTGTGCTCGATGGTCCGGACCGAGTCTTCCTCGACGTAGGACGAGTACGTCCGGGTGATGGTGTCGGACGTGAGGGACCGGCAGAGCTCGTCGGTCTCGGTGTCGCCGCCCAGGACCAGCGTGTTCGAGAGCCCTTCGGTGGTGCACTCGAGCCCGACGTTCTGCAAAAAGGGGGACGTCCCGTCGGTCAGAAGGTCCCCGTTCTTGCAGGAGCATTCGTAGTACCCCGTCTGTTCCAGTTCCAGCGTGTCGCGGTCGCACCCCTCGACGGAGGTGTAGCACTGCCCGTAGTCCGGGTCGTACATCTCAAAGACGCCCTGGGTCGCTCCGATGGCTTCCAGCTGGCCCGGGTCGCAGGTCTGGAAGTCGTTGGCGGGGACGAGGTTGCCCGTCCCGTCCCCGATCTTGATGTTGGAGCAGATCACGTTGAGGCCGTAGAAGGAGTCGTCCCCGTCTTCGTCGCCGGAGGGACACTCGATGTACTCGCACAAGGCACACTCGAGGCCGTCGATCTGCATCGAGCAGCCGTGGTTCCCGTTGGCGGAGGGATCGTTGTACTCGGTGTACACCACGGCTTCCGGCCGTCCGACGACGTACTGGTTGGTCTCGAAGTACGCCACCTGCGTCACGCCGTTCTTGATGGCAACCCCGTCCCGGTACTGGATCTCTTCGAAGATGGCCCCGTAGGAAAAGCGGTCGCAGGTCTGGCCGTCCGGGCTGCAGTACGAGCACCGCTGGTCGAGGCACTCGAGCCTGTAGACGATGGGCTGGTTGGCCGGATCGATAAAGGCGGCGTAGCGCTCGTCCAGGACGGATTGTTCGCACTTGCACGACGAGGTTCCCCCGGAGGGTGCAATGTCGGCTTCCTCCCTGGCCTTGGCGGCGTTGCACGAGTCCTTGGCGCTGGAGGACCCCGTGAGGCTCTGGAGGGTCCGGGACCGGCGCTGCTCCTGCTCGGCCTTGGACCACTTTCCGGTGGTGGCGCCGCTGCTTCCGTGGTTGCGGCGGAGGCCCGAGCCGCCGATCTCGATCCCGGTTGCGAGGACGGTCGCGGAGGCGAGGGCCGCCATCCAGAGCACCGAGGAGGCCCCGGTGGTTCGCTTCCTCTTTTGTGGCATGGTGGTGAGTGGGTGATGAGAATCGGTGTCGAACGGTATGTTTTTTTTTGGGATGGGTTGTTCGGTGCTAAACTTCTTTCCCGTTGGCTTTCGTTGACCTAGCGAGAGGATAAAGTGATATCCTTGTCGTTGTGCTTGTAGTTGTGGTTGTGATCCCGGCAACCGTTGTCGACCGAGGCGTCGTATCGTTTCTTCGCGTGACAGAGCAAGGATACACCCAAGGATCGAATCCAGTTTGGCATCGTGCGAGGAATTCGAAGCGATGGGGGGGGGGGGTGTCGACGGAACGGAAGTTAGACGAAGATTTTCCATCTCGTAGGCGTGACGTAAACGAGTAATCGTACACTGTGCCCGATCGTGTGTCGCAGAAGCCTGCGAGGTTCGAGGAAGAATATTTACGGCGAGCGCAAAGGACACAACGCACGGATGGGGTCGATTCCTACAGGAAACACTAGATCTTCAATCCCTTCAACAGTGCGCGAACAGTGACAAAAGGGTGTTTCTACTACGAACTGGAAACAAACTAAAAACAGTTCTTCGCTGGAGTAGGCGTCACCATCTCTTGAACGGTCACAAACACATGTATCGTTCAAAGTGATACTCCGGCTCCTTTAGACCTTCCATTCGTGCGTGATGGTACTGTATGAATAGTACGTAGGGTACGACTATCCTTCATTCAGCTTCCAGCATCAAATTCATACGGTAGTAATTAGTAATCATACTTTCAAAGGATACTATTAGTGACTACGTAGCCACCCATGCCAAAGTTCGAACGGGTCGAACGAATCGAGTCGAACACCGAACCAGCGATGCACACTGCACCGGACCGAACGCGAACCCGGCGGATCCAACGCAGCTCTACTAGGGTTATTTTTCGTGGAACGGTCGCCTAGCGGTCGTACAGTCGTACAGAATTCCGCGAACGGAAAGACGGGACCTAAGTAATTTCAAACGAGTCTTTCCGTCGTGTTTTAAACGATTCCATTTTTACGCCGAACGCATCTAAAAAATCAATGTCTTCGTATCTTTTTATGTGTGGTGTGTCGTGTCGTGTTGTCCCCGGTCTTTTTCGATGGGAGTCAACCCAATAATTGGTTTCTGGTTCTGCATCCTTCTATTTGAAATCGGCAGACTCTGCCGAGAACCGGTAAACAAGAATGGGTTTTTGTTCGTACGGATTCAAAGTTTTTAGAGAATGACGCGTACTGGTTGCTGTACAACTGTACCACATCCGCAGTAAGAATCGAAACCAACCTGCCACCGGCAGAAAGGAAGGAACACACGCACCCGTACTAAACACGCCTCCACCGATTGAAGCAATTAACGCCCAACCAAAGACACAGGCACCGCACCGCACCTCGCCGAAGCCCAAGAAGTGCAGTCCAAATTCAACCCGCACGCAGGGCAAGCCCATCAAAGGCAATCCATTGTCAACGAAGCCTAGCATTCCCGAGTCGCCCGACTCCGGTGAATAGAACCAAAGAGAGTTGGAAAGAACAAAGAGAGCAGCATCCACCGCCAGAGCAGCTCGAGCCGTGCTACCAGGGGTGCCTCCATCGAGTTTAGACGACGCAACCAAAGCAAGAGCAAGAGCCACCGGCATAATGACATCCACGGACAACCGCTCGTACTCCAAGCGGTTTCGCGACATCGCCGCCCTCTTTGATCTAGCAGACGGAGAGTCGGAAGTGACGGCCACCACCTCCTTCCACAACCGAACGACGAATGCGCCTTTCGGCGTTGGCAGCAACAGCAACGGCAATTCCTATTCCTTCTGGGACAAACTCCAGCAGCAATTCGGGGCCGACCACCAGCAGCACCAGCAACGGCAACAGCTCGACGTATACCAAGAAGAAGAAGAACCGGCACCACGGCCGACCCTCTCCAAATCGTCCCGCGAGCTCGCCTCGTTCTTCGAAAAGAAACAAGAGGGACCCCACAGAAGCATACGGGCGGTCGATACCAACGCGGCACTGGACGGGGACGACCACGACGACGACGAATACCAACACGAACTCGACGACGAGGACGAGGACCTGGACTACGAGTCCCAAATCATAGAACGAGACCACGATCTCAGCTGCAGCTTTGACTACCAGTACGGGTTCCACTCCGGAGAAGAAGACGAGGCCTCCCTCCCTTTTTCCAGCGCGGAGCTCTCCACCGAAGCCGAGACGGGACGGCACTGGGGGCGCACCACCTCGGGATCGAACAGCCTCTACCACAGCCGCAGGAACAGGGCCCGGGGGCTCTTGTTTCGACAGCAGCTCCACGAGGAACGCGGCAGGCTCGGGAAGCTCCGGGAGACGACGTCCACCACCAGCGTCCTGGAGCAGAAACTGAGGATGCACCAACCCAAGGAACTCGTCCTCAACACGACGGATTCGACCGACAGCTGCACCCTTTCGAGAACCACCGGGGGCAGCCAGAGCCAGAGGACGGGGACGGGGACCCCGCAGCGGGCCAACAGTACCAGCTGCAGCACTAGCAGCAGCAACAGTACCAGCAACAGTACCAGCAACAGCAACAGCCACCACGGCGAAGCGGACCGGGAACTCGCGGACCGAAACCTTAGCTACGAGCTTCCCTCCCCGATCCATTCCTGCAGCACCCAGAGCACCCCGCAAAACCACCACCGTCCGCACTACTACGAAAACGACGACGATACGGACATGAATATCGACGTGGACATGCCGGACGACGAACTGCGGGACGAGCTGCTCTCGAGGTCTTCATCCTTTTCCTCCGCTCTGCCACCGCCACCGGAGAACGACAGCGACGAGCAGGAGACGGAAGGCGTTCCTTCCTGGAAGCTCAGGCAGCGAGAAAAGATGCAGGAGCGCATGGAAGAGCTGGAATTCCTGGCGTCTCCCAGCCTGGAGGCAAGCCGGGGCGTTTGCTCGGAAGGACAGCCTCCAAGCAGCCCGGTGGCACCGGAAGACGCCACCGATGTTCCGGTCCCCGCCACGCCGCCACGTGTCGGGAGACAGTCCTTCGACGGGAGTGGGAGCGACCGGGACGAGGAGGAAGCCTCCCCCGACCGAGACGAAGGCAGCTGGAGGGCCCGGCAGTTCCGGCGCACCTTTCGGCACCGGGCGGGCATGAGACGCCGGAACTGGGAAAACCCGAACGCGACGGTGGACGCGAGTTCGAGCGTTGCGGAGGAATACGCCTCGGATGGCGAGAGCCAGGGCAGCGAACCGGAGCCGGACGTCGGTCCCACCGAACCGGAAACCCCAAGCCGTTCGGAGGAGGAAGAAGAAGAAGACCTTGCCGTGGCAGAATCTCCGCGGCGGCGGCAGCCCGACTGCATCGACACCGGGTCGCCCTCGTCGGTCCAGTTGCTCCGGAGCCGATTCGAGTCTCCCCTGCGCCGGGGCACCGGCGCAATGGAAACCAGCCTGGTCGATTGCATGTCGCCATCGTCGTCAACGACGTCGTCGGCGGCCACGCCCGTGACCAAGGCCAAGGTCGTTATGGACGCTTCCAAGCTCCACGAGCGGCGGCAGAACCACCGGGTGGTGGCCTACCCCTGCCTGAAAAAGACGGGCAGCAGCGACCACAACCACAACCACAACCGATCGATGGAATCCGACCGGGGCGAGGCAAACGAGGAAGACACCGATGCCGAACCACCACAAACTGCCGAGACCGAGCCGTCTCCGCCCGCGGAATGGTGGACCGAAATGGAGGAACGGGTCGAACGATACCAGCGCAGCGTGCTGGCGAGACACGAACGCAGGAACACCGGGGAGAGCAAAGGCGAAGACGCAGACGCCGTCCTCTTGCGGCAATCCTTTGAGGAATTCGCCAGCGGCCAAAACCAGCTGGGGCGGTCCATGGCCGTGGCCCTGTTCCGGGGAATACAGATTGCCAGCGACCTAGGAAGGGGACCGGAAGAAAGCCCGCGAAACGAGGCCCACGCACGGGAACTGCAGGCCCTGAAAGAGGCACACGCGAAGGAACTCCGGGAACTGAAAGAACAGCTCGACTCTGCGAACACTATCTCCACCGCTTCGGCTAGCAACAACAGCAGCAACAACAATTCTGCAAACACGGCCAGTCGCAACGAAGCCTTCCGGCAGCGGTGGAAGAACCGTATGAACAACAACAACAACACCATCCAAAACAATGCCCACACCCMCACGGTGGCGTTTTCTGGAGACACGAACCACGAGACCAACGACGACTATCGGGCCACCGAGGTCGCCTCGACCGTGGTGAGCACCATGAGCTGCCGGGAACTCAGCGTAGCTCGGTACCGAGCGAGGCTGCTGGAACAAATGAACCGGGGCAGGGGAACCCTTGTGGCAACCGGTGCGGGTGCGACGAGGCGGGAAGATTCCGGAGTGGACGGCACGAACGGGGGGAGTGCCGAAAGCCGGGACGGCAACGACGCCGAGGAGATCCAGCGACTGCTGGACGAACTCCAGCAGGCGGAGCGCCGCCAAAAACTCCTCGAGAAGCAGCTCCAGCAGGCCGGGGTGGTCCTGGCGGAAGACATTCCGTACCAGCTGGCCAAGGACAAGGTCGCGTCCATCAGCAAGAGAATGAACGAGATTGGATCCAGCGGGGTCGTCCATTCCGATCCGTTGGTACAGAAGCAGCTCCGGGAAGAATACTTTCGGCTGGAGAAGGACATGCAGAAGTACATCTCGGCGCTGATGCTCACGGACGAATACGCCGAGGAGCGCCGCAGCGAGGAAGAGGCGTGGGAGGCCCGCAACAAGGTCGCCAACCAGAAGGCCCTGGAAACCATCCGCAGAAGCATGCCGGTAGACGTCCGCAGGCTGACCCCGTCCCAGCTCGAGGACGACTACGGGCTGCCCGGTGACCTCGTCAAGCGCTTCCGCCGGATCAACGTGCTGCAGCTGCTGCGGGTCGATCCGGCCATCGTGGCCAAGTGGCACCCCTCCTCGGTCGAGGCGCTGAGGGTGACGGGGCTCACCATTACCGAGCGCCGGGCCCTCCACTGCTACCTCTCGCCGGTCGTCTGCAAGTGGAACGGGAGCGAGACGCCGGTGGTGGCGGCCGGGAACACCGGGACCGATGCCATGACCCAGCGAAAGCTGGCCTGGTTTGGTGCCCTCCGGACCAACTTCAAGGAGGCACTCGGCGAGTACGAACGCCACCTCTCCCAGCGGCCCGGCCCGGGATCCTGCGCCTCGAAGACGTGCGGGTTGATGGGCAACCGGTGCCCGGTCCGGGCCAACGCGGCGGTGAAGTACCCCGACCTGGGGCATCCCTCCCACGGAGCCTACGAGGCCCCCTTTGATCTCGTGGCCGGCGGCGGGGACCAAAAGTCGCCGGCGGAGGTCATTGCGGAGTCCCGCAGGAGCGGACCGACCGTGGTCGAGGGGGCACCCAAGGCCAGAACGCTTGTGCCCGCCCCGGCGAGGAAGGCGTTCGTGCCGAAGCGCGACGAACCGCCGAGGCGTCCGGTCGTGCCCAAGGCGGCCTCGGCCCCGAGCGGCCTGCTGGCGGCCATTGCCGCTCGCCGGATCGACTGAGCCGGATCCTAGACGCGGGGGCCGAGAGGGAGGCGGCGGGAGTGGCAGGGGGACGATACGATGCCATGTACAAGAAGAGATACAATAATATACCATAATTTTATAACAACACCAAATTGTACCACCATCCTGGCAATCGCATGAAAAACCAAGGCAATTCAGTAGAGCAAGCAATAGTTAAGTTGTTCGTTTCCGCCAACGTGGAGGCTAGGGAGCTAGCAATAGCACTAAGCAACACGAACCAAAACTCAAACAGGCACGTGGCATAGAGATCGAGAGCACAAGTTCTACAAAGGCTCCGGCGCATCACGCCACTATACAATGAAAAAAAAGCGAAAAATACAGTATGAAATCCTATTCAAGTAACCGGTTCTTGTCGAAACCGTTGGTGGCATCGCTAGGGATTGCTTCCGGCACCGGCAATGGCACCCGAGACGAGCTCGTAGGTGAAAAATCCCACCATGGAGGCCGGAACGGACCGGAGGAGCTTCAGCCCAAAGCCCCGGTACAGCCCCCTCAAGAGGTTGCCGTTGGCTTCCTCCACGAGCTTTATCCCCGTCTCCCAGACACCGGGTGGGACGCGGACCCCGTCCGCGGACGCCTGGATCCGCGTCTTGATAATGTCAAAGGGATATCCAACGGCCTGGGTATGGGAGTTGGGAATGGAAAGCAGAAAGAAAGAACACAAACCATGAGTTGCACGACTTATCCACACGACCAACAACCGCACTGCCGTGTCGAAACAGAAAGGACCGAGATTGGCGCTACTCACCCACGCCGTCGTCGCCGCGACCGCTCCCGAAACCACCGGCACCGCGACGGTCTTGTAGAGCGAAGAGCGTGGGCCGTCCTCGGCGCCGGCACCCGGTGTTTCTGTTCCTCCGCTTGCTGCTTCCGCCGGTCCCGCCAGCATCCGGAGCTTGCAGAACTCGTAGGTGGCAAACCACACCCCGTGCGGGATTCCGTCCCGCAGGAGGGTGGCCGTGAGACCCCTGTTCCACAGCGCGTGCCTGTGGGTGAGAAACCTCCGCAGGACGGACACCGACGAGGCCGTCGCTGCCGCACCGGAAGACGCATGCGTCTGCTGCTGGACCTTGATCCATTCCACCGGGGACATGAGAAAGGACTGGAGGACCCCGCCCGCGCACCCGCCGACAAAGACCGGGAGCAGGGCATCGCATGCGCCGGTGTCGGCCCCGCGGGCACCCTCCGAGTACCGCTTCCCAAAGCCGTACCCGCCCATCAGCAGCGCGTTCTGGACCGGGACCGCCCCGATCATCGGGGAGGAGCCCCTCCACAGGGACCGCAGGCCGAACTCACCCACCAGGCCCCGGACGCTGCTCCGGACCGCCGAGGCGGTGACGCCCCCCTGGACCGCCACCTCCAGGCCGGGTGCGGAAAGGACCCGGCCGGCCTGGAACCGCGTCAGCACCGTGTCCAGCGGCTGGCAGGTGGCGACGCCCACCGCTCCGGACACCCAGCCGGCGACAAAGTCCGTCCACCACTCTTCCGTGAGGAGACTCATGCTTGTGTTCCGCTGTGCCTCAGAGAATGGATCTGTGGCGGGATGCCTCGTGTTCCTGCCGATCCGTGGATCCAAGAGTTCTTTGTGCTCGTTTTGTGTTGTTTCGTTTCGCTTCGCTTTGGCTGTGGATGTCGATGTGGATGTGGATGTGGATGTGGATGTGGCGGTCGGAAGAAAGATCCAAGATGTCTCGAACTGCACAGAGATGAAAATCTACAGCAGCAATACCATGAACGCGATGTTGTGCCGTATGGTAGTGTGTGTCAACGGAACGATGGAAAAGGAAGAAGCGAATTGCAATTGCTTCCTCGAGCACGCACGGTACTGGGAAGCTGGGCAAGGGGGTTTGATACAGATTCTTTCTAGTGTTCCATTCCGAAGCCAAAAATATCCCAATCAAAAAATCACAAAAAATGCCTGCTTCCCGATTTTTACGAGAAGTACGGGACGCACGAAACACTGCCGTAGTGTAACGTAAGGTACATACATACCGTAGTAGAAGCATTTATCCTCGCCTATGAAAGTACGGACCGTACAGTACGTACTGTACCATTTATTTATTCCATACCAGTAACACGTACATCATACACACTACCCGAGTTGTGCCAAGATTAGCAAGGAATTCTTAGGATCTTGAACCGGCACGAACATTATGCATGATAGATAACCATCATAGATGCTAAGAGTATGAATCTAAGTTATCCTACATCGTGCTATGGTTTCTCATTTCTCATGAATGTTCCGTAGGATACGGTACTCATGTAGACACGTTTTGTGCACTGAAGTCTGAAGTAGTAGAAATATAAAACAAGACGAACCACAGTCATGTGTTCAAAACTCATCTAAAAGATGACACTCGAATTTATGTACAAGATAATTCTTTGGTGGGTAGAGGAAGGGAGTAGAAGTCGCCCATGCTCTGCCGGGAGGTTCGTGCTTTTTCGAACAAGCGCTCGACAGCGCCGAACAAAAAAAGAGAGCCGTGGAGGTGAGGCGAGGCGAGGCTGAACACCTGTCCAGGGAATCATGCGTCAAGTAGCAAAGCGAGCGATGTCGATTGATCGGTCGTCACGGGATCTGATCGATGAAGACAAATCAAAGCACCACCCGCCCCCCAAAAAAACAAGAAAGGCTATCGATGTGTGCTTTTGTTTTGTCGACGAGTGGTTTCGGCTTGGGTGGCTTGTGTTCTTCCTGCCGTACCAAAAGAAAATGGGTGCCAACATCCGCCGCCGCTTGCCGTGGCTCCACTCGGTGCGTTTTCCTCCCTTGCATTCCCCACAGAGCCACAGGATTGCAAAGGGTGCGAGCCCGACACCAAGCAAGCGGCCTCGTGCTTCGCCGATCGGCTGGGATTCGTGTTTTTCGATCGATCGATCGATCGATCGATCGTTCGTTCGTTCGTTCCGAGGCGCGGCCGGGCTCACTGCGACGCCGGGGGCCGCTCGCCCGCGGCAACGGCGGTCGAAACCGTGGTCCCGCTCTCGCCGGAATCCGTGTCCGTGGCGGCGACGCCCGCAACAACGTCGCTCGCGTTGGGCAGCAGGCCGCGGTCGCTGTCGCTGTCGGTGCTTCCACTGCCGCCGCCGTAGAGCGGGGGCACCCCGGTCCATTGCCGCGGCACCACCCCCGGACCGGCCGCCGTCGCCAGCGAGAGTGCCGTCGGGACCGTGGAGAGGGACCGCTGGAGCTCCCGCCGGGACGCCGTAGACGAGTGGTAGGCGTGGTAGGTCTCGTAGGTCACGTAGGCATAGGCCAGGACCCCGACCCAGACGTCCAACTGCTGCTCTAGCATGGTGAAGAACAGGCCACCGTCGCTGCTGCTGCCGGAGGACCGGCCGTCGTCGCCGTCTTCGTCGCCCCATCCCCAGTAGTTCCAGCAGTTCTCGACGGTTCTATAGAGAAAGAACACCGCGAGAAAAAGCTCGGTGACGATCAGCGCCGTCCGTTTCTTGCTGCGCCTCTGCACCTTGTCAACAACCGTAACGATCGAGTGGGAGGGCAGAAGCGCCACCCGGGTGTTGCCGGCGGGGTGCTGGTGCTGGTGCTGGTGGACGCTGCTGCCCGAGGAACGGTCCGAGGGTATCCCGGGCGTGCCTCCGCTGGCGGCAACCGCCATTCGTCTCCCGCCGCGATCGTGGTCCGTGTCGCTGTCGTTGTCGTTGTCGTGACCGCGGTTGCCTTCTCGCGGAGGCCGGTCTTCCGAGTCGTCGCGGGTTTCTTCCATCGCTCGGTACTCGGTCTGCTTCGGCGCAGGAAAGGAAAGGCCGTTGGTTGCCGCCGGCCCGCCACTTCGATTGTGGTTGCCGACCACCACGAGCACCGTGTCCACGGCCGGAAAGGCGGCCCTCAGCGAGATCTCGGCCATCCACACGAGCATCGTCAGGAGGCTCCAAACCAAATAGTAGGTGGTGGTCTCCTTGCTGGCCCGGGAGGAATCCTCGTACTGGTAGTAGTTGTAGTAGTCGTCGTCGTCGTCGATGACGTAGTTGTAGCCCGAGTAGGCGCCCGCGTCCTTGCCCGCGCCACGCTTCCCCTGCTTGTCGTACCACCAATACAGCAGCGTCATGTACAGCCCGAGCGAGAGGCTCCACACCAGCATAAAGGCGTTGATCAGCATCCACACGCCGGGGGACCGTTCCGGGCTGGCCGGTGCCAGGAACGTGAGCCGGTCCGAGAGACGCGTGGCTGTTGCTGCTGCTGCTGCGGCTTGCACGGACCCGGCTTCTACACAGGGCTGGGTGCACAGCGATTGGGGTTCCGGGATGGTTTTGTGGAGGGGGCAGCAGCGGAAGCAGCAGTGGCAACTCTTGCTCCAACCGCACCGTTCTTTGTTTCCGCGGTCGTTGCCGCGTTTTTCTTCGTCTTCGGATTCAGACCCGTTGCCCTGATCGCATTCGTCCTCGAAGCACTCGTGTTCGCAACCGCCGCCATTTTTATTGACATCTTCGTTGGCGTTCTCGATGCCGTTGTCGACAAAGCGGTGATAGGACGAAACAGAAACAGATTCCGCACCGGTTTCGTCTGGGTCTGCCGCAACGCATTCCATTTCTCGCGCGTCTCGTTGATTGTATGGATCGATTTCAATTCGATCCGCTCCGGTCTAGCCTAAAGCGGGCGTCGTTTGTAGCTTGCTGGTTTTGCATTCGATTTGCTGGTGTCTGCTTTGTGGACACAACGGGTACAAGAATAACGAGCAACAACAACGCTCAAAAAGTCAAAAATAGGTAAGAGCTCAACAATAACCGTAGCAGATATTTCTTCCAAACACGAACGAGCGAACCCCGTTTGTTGTACCGTACGGTAATTCCTTATGTGTTGAGAATGAACCATCGAATGAAGAGCCTGAGGTACGACAGTATAGTACCGGTAGAGCCGAGAACGTACGTCTTCCTAGTTAGTGGTCACACCACACCGCATGTGTAGTGCAGACGAGACACAAGGAGGGAAAAAGGGTCAGAATCCCAAACGATACACATAAAAAGTTCGTCCTGTTGAACTCCACGACGGTAAGTCACGGTCAGTCCACCGGTGCTGTACGGCATGTTTCACGTAGACCCTACCAGAAGGACCGAAAATAAGGAGTCATGGCAAGTTTCTTTCTCATTCGTGTGTGTCGGTTTGGCAGGTTCCACGATCCGATACGGTCCACAATATCGTAGGCATCCTACGGAACCCGCAGGGATGGGACTGTACGGTACAAAACGGTTTGGCGATCGAATCGAATAGCAAACACTTACTTATGTAACACCGTAGAATTCACTGTAGAGTTCGATAGCGTACGGTACGGTACGATTCAGAGAAAGGGGGTCATCGCATGGAGTCAAAGAGTCTGTCAGTCATCCGTTTTGGGGGCACAATCTCGGAGAAAGAATCCAGATTATTCCATCACAAAAGCAGCATCAACAAGAAAAAATCCAACGGCACCAAAATGGAGAACTTACAACTACTTGCAAAAGCTATTTGTAGCAGTACTGGTGGTAGTACCATTACCAAACCAAATGCATTGGCATGTTGCATGCAAATGGGATGAAAGAGGGTTCTTCACTGGAAATTTCATTAAAGATAGTAGAAGGGGAAAATGGTCTGCTTCTTCTTCTTGCCTTGGTCTTGGAATCTGCGGGGGTCACCTCCCTCCTTTACCTCTGGGGAGGGGGGGGGTGAAACAAAGGAAGACTAGACAATAGCAAAATTGGGTCCTATTGGCCTATTTACGTTAACGCCACAGAAAATGGTATGGAAGAGATGTAGGGATTAGCACATGGGATGATTTGCATTTATCCCCATGAGGCATGAGCAATAGCCTAAAACCCAGTATGATGTCGACTACGCAGTCCATGCAGTATTTTGTTGACTCTAGTAGAATACAACTTGTTAATCATTTATTGTACTTTCCTACTTTTGTTTTCAAAAAACGGTGTGAACAGGCATCGTACGTACAATAGAATACCGATAACGGAGAAGAAATACAATCCATCGAAACCGTCGATTGTGTCCAATGATCCGTCTTCTTGTAAAAGTTGCAGCATGAACGATGCTATCTCGCCGAACAACGCATCCATTGGAAACCCTAATCCGTAAATTCGATTGCTGCTCGGCGGCATGGTGGAAGGAATAAATGCACGAACGAATAAATCCATTCCATAAACAAACAAAGGAACCACGCGCACGACACGTGGATCCCGAACAGAAGGCCGCGGGGTTTAGAGCACGAGGGCGGTGGCGGCCCCGGCGGCGACCATCACCGCCGCGGCGGACGCGGCGCCGGCGGCAGAGCTCTCTTCGTCCGTGACGGCGATGTTTTCGGTGTCCACCTCCTCGTTTTCCTTGAGAATGGTCACGCAGGGGTCCGACCCGTTGCAGGTCGGCTTGGAGATGGGCGACGGGGTGGGCATGGGCGTGGGCAGGGTGGGGGTGGGGCTTGGGTTACCGCAGGACCATCCTCCTTCCCCGCAGATGCACTGAATGTTGTTGTCGAACGCGCACTGGAGGCCCACGGAAGGGCACTTGTCGCCGCTGTTTGGCTGCTGGTCTTTCTTGCAGTAAGATGGAGCGTCTGGCGCGTTGTACTGGCTGTTGTCGGTGCCCTCGAACTGTTCTTGCAGCTTTCGGGTCGAGAGCCCGGCAGCAGACACGGAGGAGGCGGAGAGTGCAACGAGTGCGAGGGATAGCAATGAAAAGGATAGCTTCATGATGATTTGGGTGGCGGCGGTGATACTGGAGATGAAAAGATTAAAAGTCTTTTTTTGTGAAACGAGCGAGAGCGGGTCGGATACGTACGAATATTGGTCCTACTTAAACAGCTAAATTTCCGTTCCGTACGGTACGGTATTTTTTCGGAGGGCAGATGCAAGCCGATGAGATTGCCGAGAAAGTGAAGCTCTATGCTACGGTGCTATCAACATACCGTAGCGTTGTACGGTAAGTAGAAAATCCTTACGGAGTATCAAGACAGCGGTTCGTAGCTTCCGTACCGTATCATTATTGTTGATAGTATTAGTAGCAGATGTGCGCTCCACGTCGACCCTCGACAATCACTCTCGGCTTGCTCGAAATTGCACAGCTTGCGGTACGTTAGGAATACTGTATGGGGCAAGACACACCAATCTTGATGGATCTTGCAAAATCGATCATAGCGCGTCGTATCACCCCAAATGGATCCCGTCAATCTACCAATGCGCATAAATGAACACGTGACAGAACACTGCAATCATTGTATCCACTTTGAGGAAAAGTTAATCACGAATACAAATAACAGGAACACCGTGAGTTGCTTTTTGTTTTCAACAAACAGCCTACGTAACGAGTCCCTTGCTTAGTTTCCTAGGTCCCCTAGGTCTCTACTAGTAATGTGTGTGTTGGTGGTTTTAGCAGGTGTTAAGGGAAACTGCGTAACCCTAATCTCTTTCCCCTGTGGGGGACCGGGGTTAGGGTTACTGCCTTGAGCCTGCTGATCCCCACTACCGGCACACGTATCATTAGTAGCTGCGTGGCGGGCGGGAGGGATCTTGCGCTCTTCGTCTACTATTACTCTTTGCGTCGATGCCGGGTTGGCAATAGTGGTTCCAGAGAAAGGTTGTCAAGTTTACAACCCGGTGTCAACCATGCACCTTTTGTCTTTATTTTGTTTTGTGCATTTCTTGGTTTATTCTCCTCCATTCATTTTGTGCGCGCGCGCGGTTCTTTGATTGTTTCAGTCCAGACGCTGCGGGATTCGCTACATCGACTTTTTGTTTTCAACAAACAGCCTACGTAACGAGTCCCTTGCTTAGTTTCCTAGGTCCCCTAGGTCTCTACTAGTAATGTGTGTGTTGGTGGTTTTAGCAGGTGTTAAGGGAAACTGCGTAACCCTAATCTCTTTCCCCTGTGGGGGACCGGGGTTAGGGTTACTGCCTTGAGCCTGCTGATCCCCACTACCGGCACACGTATCATTAGTAGCTGCCAAAGGACCACAGGTCACCGGGGGGGAGCAACGCGTGGGTGGGAAGAGCCCGAGGACAGGAGGAAGCCGCCGACGCATCGTGTGGGCCTCCGTGAGGCTTGTTATGTGGGTGCGGCGGGGACGGAGTCCTCGGGAAGGAAGCTGTAGGCGCCGTTATTGAACATGAGCTTTGCCAGTCGTTGAAAGAGGGGAATCGACTGTTGGTGGAGATAACGCATCATTGCATCACTGTGCCAACGTGCCAGAAGTTTTATCACGTTGGAATCACAGCGACCTTGGAGTAGTGCCATGGCACCCCCTGCCCGCAAGGACCGGGCACTGAGGGACTGAGGGCAAATTCCAGTGGAGGGCTTCAGGATTGCTGCGTGCCAGCGCATTGTTGTCGTTATCATGGCTGCGGTAACTCGCACATTCACTTTGTGTCGGTTATAGTAACTGGCCAGGGGGACGGTTGCATCGTACTGGTTTGTTGCGTTTCGATGCACAAGGAATTGGCGGATGACCGCTGTGACTGGGCAACAGAGGGGGTCCCCACTACGTGAATGGGCTATGACATCCCCTTTGATCCCATTCTTTTGGGTTGTAAATGTTAATTGTATGGATGTTGCTGCTGAGATCTCGGCATTGGAGGCGACCACGGAGTTCAGTCGTCGAGCGCCGATGAAGAAGGCAACATCCTGTAGGGTAAATGCTTGATCGTCGGTGTTAGTACCAGTGTACTCTCCCGGCCGTAAGCAGAAGAAGAATGCAATACACATCATGTTCGCAATTGCCTTCCTTTCTGCTGTAGGTCGTTGACGATACGCGAAGTTGAGTGCGTGGATGATGACAGTAATGGGAATAGGTTTCACACGTGAAGGAGGGCCTTCCTTGATGCGGTAGGCCCGCAGTTGAGCTGCTAGGCGGTAATCTAGGTTGCCAAACCTATTAAGTCTGGGGTCTGGGGCCCCCAGGCAGGTGATCTTCTGGCCCACTGATCGGATGGCGTCCGATACTGTATGAGCTCGAGCACGTTTGCCGCTGGGGGAGGATCTGCCATCTTGGTACCTGGCTCCAAAGACTTGGAGGTAGGGGACCGGATCCTTGGACAGTGTAAGGAAGGGGTCAAGGCCTTGAGACAGGCAGAAGTCAAGCCAGCACGTCCAATGGGCATCTTTCTTTTTGGCATACCCTTCAGTAACACTGGATCGCATCTCCTCCTGGATAGCGCCAAGGTCAGACTTGAATACACTGGCTTGCGGAGCTGGCATTCCTTCCAAGGCAAGCTCTGTGGATAAGTAAGGTTGAAGTGAGTTGCAAGTTGTGAGTCAGTTAAGTGCCAAGCCCGGGACAGTGTGTCAGCCATTGTATTAGCCGGCCCCGGGATGTAATCATGGCAAGGTAGGTACCGGAAGATTCGTTGGTGTAAGGCTTGTAGTCGCAGGAGATAAGCCACCGGTCCGGTAGTTGTGGAGGCTCCTTTTCGCTGCCAGTGTACAGTTGCTATGTTATCGTACAAGTTGTGCACTGTCCGCTCTGCAACATCGGCACACTGAGCAAGTACATCCAGGTGAGCTATGGAGCCTGCTAATTCTAGTTCGCTATTGGTGATTCGTCCGCTTGGATTGCTGAAGGAGACCAGTTCCTTTCGAACCCAGGCGGGGAATTGTTTCCTCCAATATACTGGCTGTAGCTCTCCATTTGGAAGGGGAATAAAGTGTATCCCCCCCATCCCTGTACCAGCTGCATCGCATGCGCCTATGGTAGCTGGCCACACGTCTGGCACCAACTCAGCGATTCTTGTTGGTCTGGAAGAAAGGTCCGCTGCTAGCCACCGGAAGTCCTCTAAGAAGCTGTGCAAAGCACTGGTGAGCCTTAAGCGCCGTCTCCCTTGTTCTTGGTGCCGAAACGCTTCTTGAAGCAGGGAGAAAAGCCCTATCGATCCCGGCAATGCAATGGCCATGGATCGCAGTTCACCCAGTAACTTGTGCCACTCATCTACCCGTGCATATTTTTGACCCGGGGAGATGCTGTTGAGAATGGCTCCCAGTCGATCTACCCGGTGCTGGGGCAGGCTGATTGTCTTGTTCTCCGTGTTGAGCAGCCAGCCTAGGATGATCTTGGAGGTGGCCCACTTGGCATCCCCCTTCCCCAATTTCTTCAGGGAAGCCGGTTCTTGCCTGTAAGGTGTATCTTCCGAGTCCAGAGGGCGGAAGACTCGGTCGAGTGAGTGGAAGAGGGCTCGTTTCACCGCTCTCCTAACCCATTCATTCCCTTGCACTAGACCGCAAAAGTCGTCTACGTAAACATCCCAGTATCGAAGTGGCTTCTTGAATGGGGTTGTGGTTCCTGCCGTAGAGGGGACCTGCGGTGCAGCCGTAGGGTTGGCAGTTTCTTCCCCGGCAGGTTCTGAGAGATCATCGAGCCGGTGGGGCCGAGCTCTCATCTGCTTCATACCGGTGGGGTTGATCAGCACCGTGTTCGCTAGGTCGGCGATGGTCTCCGTACACGCACTGAAGTTTGGAGGGGAGGAGCACCACCCCATTGGATTAGTTAAAGGGATACCAATGAGGGGTTCTTCTCCCTTCCTTGCCGGGAAGAGAACCCCAAGGTGAAGCGTATCCTCTGGCTTGACCCACAGCCTGTAGAAACCGTCAGACAAGTCCACCTTCGACATGTACACTGGCCCAAAGGCATCATTGGCCCGGTGGATCCGTTGGAGCAGTCTTTTTAGGGCTCTTCCGAACTGCATGGCTTCAGCAGGGGCTACTGGCACTGTGGCATCATTTACTCCGAAGTAACTGTAGTCCGAGATCATCCGGTCCCGACGACCCCTCTGTGGTACTAAGCCTAGGGGGCTTAGTCGTAGCCCCGGGACGTCGGCTATAAGGTTAGCTGGGAGCACTGTCCATTGCTGCTTATCCATCATATCAGCATATTCTTCCCGGAGGAACTCTATCCCATTGTGTGATGATTTGTGTGGGCCTCTAGCCAGGGCACCCGCGATGCGGCCGGGTCCCCAAGGCGGTCCACTCATTGGAGCTGGTGTCCCTTCCAGCTGGAAGCCTTTCAGGAGATTAGCTGCGGGATGGGGAAGGGTGCCTACATCCGGATGCAGGTCTCCTCTCCCTCTAACGGACCGTACGAAGTCCTCCCAAGAGGGGGCTTTCTGGAAGGCCTTCACGGCTTGCTGGACATGTCTGTCCAATCGGTCTGGTGGGTACATAAGGCCTGTAGCGGAGACCGTAGCGTCCCTGAGTTTCGTGGTTGGAAGGACGGGGGGCTCGGCCTCCGCCTCCCGGCGTTCAGCTCCTACGTGGTGCTCGGACCTTGCGAGGGCATGTTTGTTTGCTGTCTCCGGGTGAGGAGCTTGTCTCCGGCCGGGATCTTGTTGCTGCTGCTTCTTTCTAGTATCATCCGTGGGGTCTCGGCTCTCCGGTGATAGTGGCACGGGGGATGCCAGAACGAGCTCTGGCCCTCCCTCGTGGATTCGTAACTTAGCCGCTTTGCACTTACCTAATTCCCCAGTTAGGGGACACGGGGAGGCACTGATCGGCCGTTGTGACCCTGCTGTTCCTGACACCAACCGTCGCATCTTGGTTGGGGGCAGTGGCACAGCAGCGGCTTTTGAGGGAGCTAACTGCCTGCCCCCTCGTCACTGGGCTCCATAGGCGTCTTGACACCAGTCCCAGAACTTGTCTTGGTCTACATCGGTAGAGGTCTCATGATCATATTTGAGCTTGCATCCATCATAGCAAAACCCTTTGGCTCGCCACGAATGGCACATCTCCTTCCCATCCGTCCGCTGACAAGGGCCTAATCCTTTCTCTTTCATGGTGTTCAAGGCTTTCGATATCTTCCAGTTCTTAATCCGGATTCCTAGCTCCCCTGTAGCGTTTCCGAGGCGGGGATCCTGTTGGGTGTTTTCAATCCGTTGCTGCTGGGGTGCTCCTCCCTGGGAGTTTTGCCCGCCTTTAGGAGCTCGTCCTGTGCTGTTTGCGGAGTTCCCCTTTCCTGGGGATCTTTGGTGGCTGGCACTGCTTGGGGCTATCTGTAGTCCCTTCAATGCAGGCACGTCAGTTACCACCGGGAGCCAGCTCAAGGTCTTAGACAGCTTGAAGGTTCTTAAGTCTTGAGTGAAGCTGGGCACCTCGATCGGTGCCTGGCTCCCCCATTGTTCTTCGAGCCAGCAACGAACCCGGACTTGGAAGTAGTATACTATGATTGCGGGAGTTAATTTTTCCCCGCATTGGTCTACTAGGGCATACCTCAGTGTTAGTTGAGTCCGCTTTAGTCGCTCCAGTCCTTCGAGATAGCTTCGGACTAAAGGGTGTTCAACCCCAGTAATAGCACCCAATACCGGGAGATAGCCTTCAATTTGCAAGAGTCCTTCAGTCCAGTCTAAGGGGATGTAGCCTTGTGACTTTCCTAAAGCGAGGGCATCGCTTAAGTTGAGGGAGTTTCCCTCAGTCGATACCATAGTATCATACGCTAAAGCTGCTCTCGCATCCGCCATTTGCCGTTTGCGAGCTGTAGGGGATCCTCCAGGGGGTGCAAACGCCATGGGGAGTATCCCGTCTCCTATATCACACTCATCCACTCCATAGAACCGGAATGCCTGGAAGGTCTTCAGGATCGATGTAGGGACAAAAGGCGCCTGGAGGCCCAGTTCACGGGCGGACTGGTCCACATAGCTTTGGAACAAGGCGTGTAGCTTTTCCCCCTTCTTCTTACTGGTCCATCCGTGGTATACAGCTGGGAGGTCACTCTCCTGGTCCGTTAGGCATAAGGCTTTGAGGCGGCTCACGTTGAGTCCCCCAAACACGTCCTCCATGGAGGCAGGCTGTTTTTCTTCAGCCCTGCGGCGTTCGTTGGCTTCGTTCATTTTTAGCTGGTTGTCTGTAAGTGTGGATACTGCAGCTGTCAGCGCGGCTGTCCCAGGGTTAACGTGCGTGGGGATTGGTACTAACCCAGGCAAATCGCGGTGGAGTACCTTCTTGTCCATGTAAATGGTGAGCTTCGCTTCAGCCCGGAAGAGGGGCCCAGGCTCGTTGGCTGCAATTTCGCATACTGGGCTGGGGTTGCCCGGATTGGTTACCAGGGCCTGTGTACCGGCAATCCTGAGGGCATCCACAAGCGGCTTGGCATCCAAGTTCCAGTTTTGGGACTGGAGCCAGGGATGTATGATGCTGAAGGCCTCGCGGGGCGTTAGGTTCTTCCCTAGAACCAAGGGAATTAGCTCAAACGGTAAGAAGAAGGTATGACGGCAAATTAGCTCCTCCGTGTTGGGTGCTTCGGAGTTGAAGGGGCCAACGTATTGGATGTTGGTGTTGGCTTCCAAGGCCATCTGATGCTGTGCGGTGGCAAGCACTCTAATAGGGTTAGTAAGGGCGAACATACTGGTTGTCACTCTAACCAGTTCCCCTCGTCCGGATACCACATCATCCAAGAAGCCAAAGATCTTGTTGGCGTTGGGGGACGCGGTTAGCAGGCTTCCAGGATACTTCCGTATCCCATGGATAATGCGGAGGCGAGGGACGGTATCAACGTCATTCACAAAGATACCAATTCCCCCTATGGCTTCAGCTTCGAAGAGGTTGAGAACATGTGCGAGGAGGACATCCGGAGGCAAAGGGCTAGGCCCGTTCGCCGCGAACTTGCGGTAGATCCTCCCGTAGGCGCTACGGCGTATGTCGAGGTCTGTGCCGAAAGGATTCGATGCTGGATCCTGGAATAGGTCCAGATAGCAAGTGGGATTGGGCTCCGCAGTACTGTCCATGTTACTAGTAAAGTACTCGCATGAACTGGGGCATGCTTGGGAGCTGGCCCCGGTTGGTCCTATCTTGCGCTCTTCGTCTACTATTACTCTTTGCGTCGATGCCGGGTTGGCAATAGTGGTTCCAGAGAAAGGTTGTCAAGTTTACAACCCGGTGTCAACCATGCACCTTTTGTCTTTATTTTGTTTTGTGCATTTCTTGGTTTATTCTCCTCCATTCATTTTGTGCGCGCGCGCGGTTCTTTGATTGTTTCAGTCCAGACGCTGCGGGATTCGCTACATCGATACCGTACGGAAAGTTAAGAGCACGGTAGTGGCGTTAATTTGTAAGTCATACGGTACAGTACGGTACTTCACGAAATGCGTACGGTACTATTGTCCGTACTACGTACAGGACGATACTTTTACTTGATAGTGTTACTGTAACGATCAGAGTAGAAATACAACATTACTATGGTATGGTTGGTACCCAAGTACGCATGGTAGTACCGGTAAGATGATTTCGGTACCGTAATTACGTAATTACTGTAATAGGATGTTGAGATGTGTATGACGTATGTTTGACGTATGTTCGATCAATACAGAAGTGCGTCTGCTACAGTATCGATTACGGCTCGTGAGTTCGTACCGAACTGAGTACCTTACTGACACCTCTGATTTTTAAAGAAAATTCTTGAGAATACGCACGTACTACAATTCGGAAGGGGTCTAAATTATGAGCCCCTGTCGCGCGGGTACGTAGTACCGTACGAACTGTAAGAAGACGAACCCATTAAAACTCGTGAAGTTGTCGCGCATGACCATCTTGACGTTGGGATTTTGACGCCTGCATTCCTAATAACGATCGTTTCGTCGAAAGAAATTACGATTATTTAAAGACAATGAATGTGCAATCTCTAGGAAAGTCGTTACGGCAGCGCGTGGGGAGTATGTTGCCGTTATTACAATGGTCACAAACCTTCGTTTTGCGCAATCTCCCTAACGACTGACAGAAATCGGTACCGTTGGAGTTACATGTGCATGAACAAATTACACAAACATCAGTTTTGTGCAGAACAAAACACAACATTATTAACCATTCCATCACAAAATTCTATCCCCATCATGTTCTCGAAGAAAGTCATCCTATTTGTAGCTCTAACAATTCTTCTTGGATTGGCAGCCTTAGATGGCGCTAGTGCGAGACTCACTAGTCACCGAAATCTCTCGACAAAGATCGACAAGAAAAGCTTCAAGGGCCTGAAGTCCAAATCCGACTATTCCAAGAAGGTGAAGAGGAATCGTAAGAGGAATAGTGTGAGCAAGAGCTCTAAGAAAAAATCGAAGAAGTCAAAAAAATCCAAGAAATCAAAAAAGGAAAAGAAAGAGAAGAAACCCAACAATGGATCCCACAAAAACAATTCGGGCAGTATGATGAGTAGCAAAAAGAAATCTGGTGACATGATGAGTAGCAAAAACAAATCTCGCAATATGATGAGCAGCAACAAAAAGTCTGGCAGCATGATGAGCAACAACAAAAAGTCTGGCAGCATGATGAGTAGCAAAAACAAATCCGGTGACATGATGAGTAGCAAAAACAAATCTCGCAACATGATGAGCAGCAACAAAAAGTCTTCCAACATGATGAATAGCATGAGTAGCAAAAACAAATCGGGCAACATGATGAGTGGTAAAAATAAATCCCGTAACATGAGCAGAACAAGATGAGCAGAAGAATGAAGGTTACGAAAATTGTCGCAACAGCTCGAAGCAGCGGTTTTGTCTCCGAATTAAAGTGGGTAAAGACAAGGATCGATGCGTCGGTGCTATTATTCGACGATGCTGTCATGCCGGTGCTATTATTTGACAATGCTGTTATTTGGCGATGCGCACGCTATATTATGTGCTGCGTCCTCTGTTTTATAGTTTTAAATTAGAATGTGTCTTTTACTTCATCGATTTTTTGTAGATCAGAATGAGCAGGTAACGGAGCACCGGTTTGGCTTGATAAATACAAAGCAAGCAAATAGGATCAAATGGTAATGCATTTTCATGATCGGTTTTGCGATTGTGCATGAATGCATCTTCAATTCACTCTTTGAATCACCCCTAAACAATTTCCTAGTTGTCGACGATGCCGATCTAAGATCGTTGCACCCAATCTCTCTACCAGTCACCATTTTCAAAACTGGAATTGTCGATCGATGCAACCCCCTTCTGTTTGAACGAAGTTTGGATTGTGGTCGCGATCGACACCTCCCTCTTCTGCATTGATTCACCGACGTTCTGCGATACCGCTCCTCTGGGTAACATCAGGCCACAAAAACGCGTATCAAAGTTTACACTGTGGCAAACATTGTTTCTGTAAGAGTAATCATCATAAACGTATGCCACCCAAGATAATTAAGGATTACTTTTACTTCGAATTAAATGAAACTATATATTTATCTAACCATTGTTAAGTACATGCATAAACAGAATTGCGTTCGTTTTTGGCAGCAACGTCCACTATATAGAAATTATGTCGCATCGTTTACAAGCCTTTGGACAATGAGTATACATCTTTTTCCCCCTGTATACCTCGTCGCATTTCCTTTTCGAGGCAATCCATTTGCATCTTCGCATTTTCCTTTTCTTCTATATAGAAATTATGTCGCATCGTTTACAAGCCTTTGGACAATGAGTATACATCTTTTTCCCCCTGTATACCTCGTCGCATTTCCTTTTCGAGGCAATCCATTTGCATCTTCGCAATAGAAATTATGTCGCATCGTTTACAAGCCTTTGGACAATGAGTATACATCTTTTTCCCCCTGTATACCTCGTCGCATTTCCTTTTCGAGGCAATCCATTTGCATCTTCGCATTTTCCTTTTCTTCTTCCATCGCAACCTTTTTCTCTTGTCCTGACAACCTTCACCCTCAACAGCAGAAGGAAACGGAGTCGGAGGGGGAACTGGGGCTCGAGTTGGGGATAGACTTGGGGCTACAGTTGGAGATTGACTTGGGATACGGGATGGCTGGAGGGAAGGCAATTGAGTAGGGGAATCAGTAGGAGCCGGATCCAACCCTACTTGGATGGGTTCGACTTTGCGGGCGAACGGTTTGTGGAGCTTGTAGAAAAACAGCTCATTCCCCTCTGGGTCGAGTCCACGGTAAGATCCAAATTGCAAGCCGTCGCCAGTTCTGTCTATTATGACAAATTGATAATTTGTGTTGTAGGGCAAACACACTATGCTCTTGGTCGTAGTTGATGGCTCTGTGAAAACGGGGCTGACCGCCACAATCTCCTGAACTCCGACGTCCTTCTCTTTGATTATGTACCAACCAGTATCTTCTGGATATTTATCGGTCTTTATTTCGATGGTATAGTTTGCACAGGGCTTGGGGTCTGCAACATCATCGTTCTCAACATCAACGACTTCGATTATTGCGTCTTGAAGGCCGTTGTCAAGACCCACGAATCGGATTTCAACATCGCGGTCGTCATTGAACTGTCCAATTGTATACTTCTGTCCTGGAAAGAGGCTTGCAATTTTATTGGAAGGGCCAAATTCTGTTGTCGAATCCTCCTTGCGAAGAACATTGACCATGTCAAAATCTTGCGTGGTATCCCGGTTGATGCCATCCTTACGGTTGTAACCTAGGTAATATTCCGCCTTTTTGGCGGATTGATCCAGGCGCAGTACGATAAGTGCATCTGTGTTGCCGCTCTCGTAGTCAGTAACACCGTTCAGAATGAAGCGTCGAACGGCTCCCGCCCCATCCAGTAGAGGATCGATAGAATCAGTTTTGTCGCTGTACCACCCCAATTGATAGCTTTTGGCGGCATTGTAACACATTCTTTCGATGCCACCTTCGTCGATCATTCCCATGAATCCTGTCTTGTCCCCGAACAGCTTGACCTCGCCGTCCTTTATAGCATTCGAAGGAGCAAGGTTCATATTGAGACCAACTGGAAACACGTGGGAGAAAAGAGTTAGAAAAAACATTTGCCGATACTGTAAACAAAAACCCAAATCAAAACGAAAGGTACTCACTCCGGGCAAATAGCGCCGAGGTCATCGTGCAATATTGATCGTTGTAGAAGGACCCTTTTCCATTTTGAATTCCGAAGGTCTGCCAGCCTTGTCCATCTTTCAGGGTTCCCGGGGGCATGCAGAACATGAAGATATCGAACGTGCTGCTTGACTTCAATTCTCCTAGCATCGCAGTGGCAGCAGCCGTGGCAGCCTCTCTAAGAACTGTGAAGCTGTTGTCTTCTTCGATTTGGTGATCGACAACGACCTCGACGACACCATTTGGTACAAACACGCCGGTATCTGTAATTCCCGAAAAGGGTTCGATTTTGAGTTTTCCATACGAGCAAGCTTCGATTTGGGTTTTAAGGCAGACGTCGTCTTCGAACATGCCCTCCTCAATCTCCTCTACACTGGCGATTGGGGCAGTCCCGTTGCCATCGATGACTCGAATCGCTATGGCCCTTAAGGTTCCAGTATTTTTTGCCATGTGCATACCGGTGCCGGTGGCCGCGGAGGCAGTGGTCGTGCTAGACGATGCTGCGATCGACGATAAGGAAACAAGATAAAACAGCGAAAGGGCCTTCATCATTGTTTGTCGTTCCACTACGAGATTCGGTGTTTCGTTTGATCTCTTCTATTACAGAAGGAAACTTTTATTCAGGTGGAAAAGGAAAATAGTCCTACGTTTTGTAAGCAGTTGAGGCAACAGTCTGCGACGTAGAAAATTACAACTGTTCAACTTCGCACAAACCATAGCGCCAACTCAATACCGACGCTCGAAGTGATGTACTTCGTACTTCGTACGTATCATGACAAACATAGTTGCAGTTCATTCCATAAGTGACGAATGTCTAGAGTAGCATAATAAGGCTTTGAAGACAATCATCATGATATTTCGTCGTGGGCAACGGGATGTGATCCTTTCCGCGCCTGTTGAATATTAAAAATATCATGACAGTTTTGTTCAATTAATCATCACCAGAATGGTTGATCGTAGAAGAACATATAATCTATCAAGACTATTAAAAGTATCACTGAATGACCATCAGAACTGTGGTACCGTGTCGGAACTTTCAATAGCCGCTGTACCAGCGTACTGTGGAAGCTTCGAGTACGTTCTCCGGAACCATCAACATTAGCGAAAACATGCCCGGCATTGGAATACCGATACCGTACGGTATGGTAGCATACCCGTATTCGTACCTTCAATAACTGATCCAGTTTCAGTTTCAAATTTTTGGTCGCTAAAAAAGAAAACGGAATCCCGTTTGTAGTTTCTAGTTCTCTTGTTCAAGGAAGCACATCTAGCAGTTACGAGCACTTGCCAATATCCCTACTACAAACGCCAGGGCACAATATGCGTTGGCTACCAAAACAAGAAAAATAGAGGTCTCGCCATTACTCCCTCCCTCAAGGAATTTTTCATTCATTTTCACCATAAAGTTGGCCTGGGTGGAGGAGAACAACCACAGCTTCTTCTTGTTCTTGTTCCTCTCCTCCTGCTCGCCCTCTGCTGGCGGTACTGCTGCTGTTCTCGTCTCTGTTGTGGTTATTTCTCTTTTAGATAGAGCCAGAAGTTACGTCACAAAAACTATCCGCGACCCGTAGCAAACCCCCATCGCAACCCCGTCGCATGCCCGAACGCGACCCAATTTTTATGGTCTAAGTACACTCTGCGAAGAAAGGTGGTGCGATTGAACTACAGTAGACAGCACGGTGAATAATGAAATAGTATGTATTGTTGTGTGGCTTTTAATGAAACAGTATTTATTGTTGTTGCTCTTAATGATACAGTATGAAATATGAAACAGTATGTAGTATTGTTTTGCTTTTGTAAAAAAAGAAAAACTTTGCCTATACTGATAGCTGTGTGTGAGGCGCAGGGAGTACCGTCGTTCCAAGCTACCACTGCAGGAAAGGTGGCGACTGCGTCGTTCGCTCCCATGGTCGGCCAATGGCGAAGAGAGATGCTTTGACAGTAGCTCAGTTTGTGTTGTGCTGCGCAGTGTAGAAACCATCATTGACCAGACTCCATCCATACGGACAACGACGGTAGACGAAGCCCAGGGAGCCATCGAAAAGAAATTCGTCATCAACCTCTTCCATAGGATTGTGCTTTCGCTTGCCTAAAGTGGCTGCTTTCCCACCGCCTTCTTGATTTGGTTCGGTGGTTCCCTGCGCTTCGGAAACTCGTTCAGAATCCCTATCGAGGGTTTTACCGGTGCAATTCACATCTACAGACACAGTTCCAGGGACAGGAAAGGCTTGATCTTCTGGAAAGTTACTGCATTCTGAATCATTCAAAGCCTTTACACAATCTTCCATAAACTGCGTAACATCGCTCAGATTGGTCAACTCTGAAGTAGATTTCGTGCTCTGATCATCATTATCGAAGACACATTCTACAATAAACTCCGTAACATCGC